CCGACAGACGAACTGGCCTCTGAGTTGAGTTACGTCCCCTCATGAGCCTCAACTTCCCCTCTGTACAATGGGAATAACAGAACATACCCACAAGATTTTTTTTTTGTTTAACAAATGTTGACCATTAATCACGCGCAGAACACTGTGCTAGGTGGTGGGGACACAGTGATGAATGTGACCGTCACAACTTACCTCGTGGACCTCACAGTCTCAGCAGATGCTGAGGGGTTTTCCAAACCTACAAGGACTATACAATTATGAAGTACCGCTCCTTCTCCTGTTTCCCAACTTCATTAATGCCATCACCATCCAACCAGTTGCCCAAGCTATAAACTTGGGAATCATCCTCCACTCCTCTCTCTCCTTCATCCTACCCACTCCCACAATTCCAATAAATCACCAAATCTCTTTTGATTCTCCTTCAGAAAGGTCTCAGGTATGTTTTATTTCCCTTCCAGTAATCCGTTCTTCTATACTAGGCCCTTTGTTCTCACCTGAATAATTGCAAGTCTCCTTGTAATAGTGATAATGGCAAGCATTTATCGGTCACTTACCATATGGCACACATTGTGCTAAGAGCTTTGCATGCATAACATATTTTCATCCAATCAGACAGATACTAGTACCCCAATTTGTAGAGGAGGAATCTGAGGTGCACAGTAACCTGCCCCGGGTACACAGGTGGTAAGTGATGAAGCTGCAGCTCAAACCCAGGTCTGAAAGATGCTATCCTTGTCCCTTATGGGATTCCTGCCCCCAGTCCCTTCCTGGTCAGTCCACACTTCTTCCTTTAAGCTGCTGCCGGAGTCCTCTTTCAATATTCCAAGCAGACATGATGATTCTCTGCTTTAAATGACAGCCAAGGGCTGAGCACAATGGCTGTAATCACATTTTTGGGAGGCTAATATGAGAAGATTGCTTGAAACCAGGAGTTTGAGACCAGCCTGGGCAACACAGCGAGGCCCTGTCCCTATCAAAAAAAATGTTGTTAATTAGCTAGGCATGTGCCTGAAGTCCTAGCTACTCAGGAGCCTGAAGTGAGAGGATCATTTGAGCCCAGGAGTTTTAGGCTGCAAGTGAGCTATGACTGCACCACTGCACTTCAGCCTGGGCCTCAGAGCAAGACCCTGTTGCTTAAAATGAACAAATAAATAAAAATAAAGGACAGCTAAAGGTTCCTCACCACTTCCAGGTCAAGGTCCAAAGACTACAGGCCACTCTCCAGTGTTACCTCCTGTCCCACCCACAGACTCTGAGGCGACACAGTCACTGCCCCCCAAACACACTTAACTTCTTGCTAACCCACCTCGCGCTCTCCTTCCTCTGCCAATTCTTCTTTATCCTTTCCCCTAAAACAGGTGCAGCCTCAGCCCACATACACACTCACATTTCTTCACTGTTGTAATCATTTCCTGCTCGCGCATGCCCCCCCTCCCCATGTCTCCTCTCCCCCTCTCTCTCTCTCTCTCTCTCTCTCTCTCTCTCTCTCTCTCGCACACATTCTCACTTCAGACTTCCAATCCTGAGTTCCTGAAGGGCAGGCACAGTGTATTTTCATCTCTGACTCTCCAGGTCCCAGCATAGTGGCAGGTGAATAAGTAGACTCACTGAATATGGTAGTGTGGTAGTGTTCACCTCCACACGCTATCCCTCCCGGGAGCAGGTAAAACCTTCCTTTCAGAGGATGCTAAAAAGAAGGGGAGGTTACAGCAGCTCCAGTCCTCTCAAGCAAACTCAGGAAGACTGCCTGCATTCAGTAAGTCAAACAGCTGAGATTGGGCCTCCACAGTTGGTTGGTGAGCTCTCCCCCAGCCTCTTGAAAGTCAGTCCAATCGAATCTAGTTAGCTCCAGACCAAAAGACCACAAGAGAATGGTAAATTGACACCCTTCTCCTGCATTCCAAAGTGCAGAAAGCTAAAAACACTGACTCTGATGACCATAAACAGAGGATCTGGACTGAGGGAGAGTCATCAGAGGCAAAAGCTAGAGACGGCAAAATATAGGAGTCCAGGCCACAAATCAACCACTGCAACTGCCTCCTCATGGTCCTCCCCGCTCCCACTCTCATCCCCCACCACTCTCCAAAGAGCAGCCACATGATGTTTCAAACCCTGTCAATAAGGACACGTTCCAGCAAAATACCTTCGAAAAGTTTTCCATCCACTTGGAATAAAATCCAAACACTTCATCAACAAGTTCAAAGTCCAACCCCTGGCCCCCTTATTTCATGCCACTCTCCCTTCAAGCACTACATTCTGGACACAGGAGTCTCTGCCTTCTGTTTCTTTCTTTTTTTTTTTTTTTATTTTTTTTTTTTTTGAGACGGAGTTTCGCTGTTGTTACCCAGACTGGAGTGCAATGGCATGATCTCGGCTCACTGCAACCTCTGCCTCCTGGGTTCAAGCAATTCTCCTGCCTCAGCCTCCAAACCTGTAGCTGGGACTACAGGTGCGCACCACCACGCCCAGCTAATTTTTGTATTTTTAGTAGAGACGGGGTTTCACTTTGTTGACCAGGATGGTCTCAATCTCTTGACCTCACGATCCACCTGCCTCGGCCTCCCAAAGTGCTGTGATTATAGGTGTGGGCCACCGCGCCCGGCCCCTTCTGTTTCTTACAACCTGCCAACCTCTAAGCCTTTTCCCATGCTGCTCTCCTCGCCTGGAAGGCTCCTCCCCCGGATTGGTTCCTTCTCCAGGCTCAGTTCAAACTTTGCCTTTTCAAAGGAGTCTTCCTTGGCCATTCTATCTAAAGTGGCATCCCTCCCACTCCATCACTCCCTATCAGACCATCTTTTTGTTTGTGTATTTACTATTTATCACCCCCAGACAATATTTTCTTCATTTATTTTCCTGTTTCTGTCTTCTCTCCCATTAGCGTGGGGGCTGTGTTGTTCACCCCTATGAATACAGCACATGCGGCAGGCACTAAAAAGAATTTCCAGAGTATTTGTTGACTATCAGCAGCATCCTCAAGATAGGCTATGCTGTTCTCCTGTTAGAATGGAGAAAACAGCGATTGAGCCCCTACTATGTGCTAAGCACTGTAAATCCATGATTTTCCTTTCCGAAGGGTAAAGTAGCATAAGGTCACACTGCTAGTCACTAACAGACTTCTGAGTGAATTACTTGTTTGTGTCACTCCTAAACCGTTCTCAGCAGGAAGGTATGTCGTTCTGTGATTCACTCTCACATGGCCATAACATGAAAAAGCAAACATTTCTAAACTGCTTTAGTTTTAAAGCACTTTCACATGCATCTCACTGAAGAAAAACACAAAGCCGTGGCTGGGCGCGGTGGCTCACGCCTGTAATCCCAGAACTTTGGGAGGCTGAGGGGGGTAGATCATGAGGTCAGGAGTTTGAGACCAGCCTGACCAACATGGTGAAACCCCATCTCTACTAAAAATACAAAAAATTAGCTCGGTGTGATGGCGGGTGCCTGTAAACCCAGCTACTCAGGAGGCTGAGGCAGGAGAATCGCTTGAACCCAGGAGGCAGAGGTTGCAGTGAGCCGAAATGGAACCACTGCAGTCCATCCTGGGCAACAGAGCAAGACTCCATCTCAAAAAAGAAAGAAAGAAAAATAAAAACACAAAGCACTTAGAATGCCCAGAAAGTCATACGACAACAGGAAGTAAAGCAAGCAGTGCCTCGAGATTCAGTACCGGGGCCCTGAACCCCAGGAGTGGGGACTGGGGAGGAGTCGGGAGTCTCTATTTCTCCTTCAGAGGGATGGGGAAGCGGTGAGTCACGGGGTGAAGGCTTGCGCCACGGGAAACTTTGATAAGGCCAAGCTATGAGGCAACAAAAAGTGAATCACGAAGCTGGAAGATACCTTAGGCCTCAACAGAGGCCAAACCCTGGCTGATGGATGGGGAAACTGAGGCCTGAAAGGGAAAGCAACTTGCCCAAGTTCACTCAGCAAGTAAACAGAGCGGGAAACAGAGGGTCTCCTCTCCCCCATTCCCCGTTTCTCTCCACCACCGATGCGTTTCGAGGAGAATTCTGAGTTAGGGGGATGGGGAGAGGCCAGGGGCAGCTCACAGACTCCACGGAGGAGTCGGGAGAGGGCAGGGGTAGCACCGGGAAGCACAGAAATACTAGGATGGGGGCAGAAATGAGCCGTGGAGGAGGCAGGGGCAATAGCTCGGAAGGTGGGTGAGGCCAAAGGGAGCAGGACAAGGCAAAGAGAAAGGAATAGAGTGAGGGTGGAAGAAAATGCTGTGAGATCCGGGGTCTGAAGGGGCCTGGCGGGGTGGGGAGAGGCCGAGAGAAGAGGGCAGAAAGAGTCTGACGATGGAAAAGTCCAGGGATCGGGGAGACACTGAAGGGAGCTGGACGGGGAGGGGGTCCCTGATCCGGCAAGAAGTCTGACCGAGAGAGTTCCAGGGTCAGAGCAGACCCCGAGGCAAGTCTGACGAAGGTGAAGTCAGGGCCCAGGGAACCTGAGGGGAGCTCGAGGAAAGTCTGAAGGGGCCAGGCCGCCTCACCGCGCTTGTTTTTGGTGCCGTGCTTCTTGGCGGCCGTCAGTTCCTGCTCAATTTTCTTCTCCAGAAACTCCTGTTTCTTGCTTAACATCTCCTCCGTGTCCCGCAGCCGCTGGATGGCCTCCTGGGGGGTCGGGCCGCCCTTGCCGGCCTTACCCCCTCCAGCCCCGAACAGCTTCCCGAACACCGACATGGTTGCTGCTCGCCACGCCGGCCTTCGCCGCCCACTCCGGCTCGGCTCGGCTTGGCTCCGGCGCCCGCTCCCAGCCTCGCAGCTCCCAGCCGCCGCAGGCCTCTCCTCCGCCTCCGCCTCCGCCCCGCAGCTGGGCCCGGTCGCGCCACCTCCCAAAGGCCCCCACGCCCGGCCCGGCCAGCGTCAGGGCAACGCGCCGCTGACTACAACTCCCGATGGGCAACGCGCCGGCCGCTCCTCAAACCTAATGGGGGAAAGGGCGCTGCATGCCGGGAGGCTATAGTCTTCCGGCTTCTGGCGCTCCCCGGCGCGTCTTTTAGTCTAGCTGGGGTCAAAGGGCATGTGTCATGCTGGGAAATGTAGTCTCATTGGCCTGTGCTCTGCAGGAGTGGTAGAACAGTAAGAGAAATAACTGTAAGTTCTAGGTGTGCAACACTGCTCAAAAATTTATTGCTAGTATGCGATACCGCTATGCTTGAACTGTATATTTATGTGAAGTTGTCTTAAGAGCGTGAGTGAAGGCAACAGTTGTTTCCAATTTCAACCTGTGAATTCAGTGGTCACAGAAGCAAAGCAGTATCTTCAGTTAAGTACGGTAGTCTCCCCTCCTCCCCCCGTATCTACGATTTTACTTTCAGCAGTTTCGCTTACCAGCGGTCAACTAAGGACTGACAGTATTAAATGGAAAATGCCAGAAATAAACAATTCGTAACTTTTTAATTTCCATGGGCCTAATGAAATTTCATGCTACCCTGTTTCATCCCACCTGAGATGTGAATCGTCCCTTTGTCCAACATACCCCTAACACCTGTTAAGTCACTTACCAGCTTAGGAATTATCAGATGTACTGTCACGGTGTTGCAGTGCTTTCTCTCAAGTAACCCTCATTTTATTAAATAATTGTCCCAAAGTGCAAGAGGAGTAATGCTGGCAGTTTGGACTTGCCAAACTGAAGTTGTAAACTGCTTCCTTTAAATGTAAAGGTGGAAGTTCTCAGCTTAAGAAAAGAAAATCGTATGCTGAGCTTACTGAGATCTACAGAAAGAACGAATCTTCTAGCCCCGAAATTGTGAAAGAGGAAAAAGAAATTAATTCCAGTTTTGCTGTTGTATCTCAAACGGCAAAAGTTACAGCCACAGTGTATGTTAAGTGCTTAGTTAAGATAGAAAAGGCATTAAGTTGTATCCTTACTTACAGGGAAAAAAAAAGAAAATAAGTTTTTTAAAAAGAAAAGAGGCATTAGGCTTATAGGTGGAAGACATGAACAAAAAATGTGTTCCAACTGACAGCAACCTGTTACACCGGAAAGCATTGAGCCTATATAATGGCTTCAGCAAGGAGTCTCCCAAAACAAGTAGCACCAAGCCACTTACTGAAAGTAATGTATGGTTACACCAATTTAGGAATAGGTTTAGACTGCAAAATATACAAATTACTGGATGGGTTGGGTGCAGTGGCTCATGCCTGTAATACCAGCACTTTGGGAGGCCAGGGCAGATGGATCACCTAAGGTCAAAAGTTCGAGACCAGCCTGGCCAACGTGGTGACACCCCATCTGTACTAAAATTAAAAAAAAAAAATTAGCCAGGCATGGTGGCACATGCCTGTAATCCCAACTGCTTGGGAGGCTGAGGCAGGAGAATCGTTTGAACCTGGGAAGCAGAGGTTGCAGTGAACTGAGATTGTGCTATTGCACTTCTGCCTGGGTGACAAGAGTGAAACTCCAGCTCAAAAAAAAAAAAAATTACTGGAGGTCAGTTGTGGTGGCTCATACCTGTAATTCCAGCATTTGGGGAGACTAAATAAGGCGGATCACTTGAGCGCAGGAATTTGAGGCCAGCCTGGGCAATGTGGCAAAACCCTGTTTCCACAAAAAGCACAAAAATTAGCTGGGTGTGATAGCACACACCTATAGTCCCGGCTCCTCAGGAGACTGAGGTATGAAGATCGTCTGAGCCTGGGAGTTTGAAGCTGCAATGAGCTGTGATCACACCACTGCACTCCAGCCTGGGTGACAGAGTGAGACCCTGTCTCAAATAAATATGCAGATATTACTGGAGAGGCTACAGCAAGACAAGTTGGTGGAGAAGGATTTAGGGATAGGCTTGATGAAGAAGTGGAAGATCATATTGAAGGCCATTGAGTAGTGTTAACAAATAAGGAATTAGAAGAGCTTATCAAGTCATCTACAGAGAAAGCGGAAAATGAAGGAGAAACTGAAACAGAAACAGCAACATGGGCATTACCAAAATTTGCCGAAGTGTTTCAAATTGCACAGACATTAAAGGACAATTATGCAATACAATCTTCAGATAGAACACAGCATTGAAATCACTTGTATGATCACCAAAGAATTACAACTTCTGCAGCCACACTTTGATGAATTACAAAGAAAGAAGCCAGGCGTAGTGGCTAATGCCTGGGTAATCCCAGAACTTTGGGAGGCCGAGGTGGGCAGATCACTTGAGGCCCAGAGTTTGAGACCATCCTGGCCATCATGGTAACACCCTGTCTCTACTGAAAATACAAAAATTAGCCTGGCATGGTGGCACGTACTTGTAATCCCAACTACTCGGGAGGCTGAGGCAGGAGAATTGCTTAAACCCAGGAGGCAGAGGTTGCAGTGAGGCGAGATTGCGCCACTGCACTCTAGCCTGGCGACAGAGACTCTGTCTCAGAAAAAAAAAAAAAATTAAAAGGAAAGAGATGGCCAGGTGCAGTGGCTCGCGCTTGTAATCCCACATTTTGGGAGGCTGAGATGGGTGGATCACCTGAGCTCACAAGTTCGAGACCAGCCTGGGCAACATGGTGAAACCTTGTCTCTACAAAAAATGCAAAAAACTAGCAGAGTGTGGTTGCGTGTGCCTGCAGTCCCAGCTACTCAGAAGGCTGAGGTGAGAGAATCACCTGAGCCCAGGAGGTCGAGGCTGCAGTGACCCATGATCACGCCACTGAACCGCAACCTAGGCAACAGAGTGAGACCCTGTCTCAAAAAAAAGAAAGAGACACCCTCCAGTAATATCGTTCTTCCAAAAGTTTTTGGCAAAAGTGCAATTATCAAGGACCCCCAATCATCAGTTGACATTGTCTGATCCTGATATCCAACCATTGTCATCATCACAGCTCAATGATCCAGGATCACCCAAAGCAGATTGTCCTCCTGACATCTCAGATGGTCAGTAGTGGCCTAACACTACCTCATAATGCGTGTCATTCACCTCACTTCATCTCATCACACAGGCGTTTTGTCTTCTCACATAATCACAAGAAGAAGGGTGAGTACAGTACAATAAGACATTTTGAGAGAGAGAGACCACATTCACAAAACTGATCGTAGTATGTTGTTATAATGATTCCATTTTGTTAGTAGTTGTTATTAATCTCTTACTGTGCCTAATTTATAAATTAAACTTTATCGTACATGTATATATAGAGAAAAAAGGCCAGGTGTGGTGGCTCACGCCTGTAATCCCAGCACTTCGGGAGGCCAAGGCAGGAGGATCACAAGGTTAGGAGTTTGAGACCAGCCTGACCAACATGGTGAAACCCCGTCTCTACTAAAAATACAAAAATTAGGGTGAGGTGGCGCATGCCTGTAATCCCAGCTACTCAGGAGGGTGAGGCAGGAAAATCCCTTGAACCTGGAAGGTGGAGGTTGCAGTGAGCTGAGATCGCGCCACTGCACTCCAGCCTGGGTGACAGAGCCAGACGTTGTCTCAAAAAAAAAAAAAAAAAAGTGGGCCAGGCACAGTGGCTCATGCCTGTAATCCCAGCACTTTGGGAGGCTGAGGCAGGCAGATCACCTGAGGTCGAGAGTTCAAGACCAGCCTGACCAGCATGGAGAAACCCCATCTCTATTAAAAATACAAAAAATTAGCCAGGCATGGTGGTGCATGCCTGTAATCCCAGCTACTTGGGAGGCTGAGGCAGGAGAATTGCTTGAACCCGGGAGGCAGGGGTTGTGGTGAGCCAAGATAGTGTCACTGCACTCCAGCCTGGGCGACAGAGCGAAACTCTGTCTCAAAAAAAAAAAAAAAGAGTTCTCAAGATGGATTTGTGATGTCTACCCAGGATGGGGAGTGGTGACACATGGGCAAAGTAGCTGCCATCCTGGCTGAGAATTCAACTGCCATGACAGAGATTCACAGAGTGGACTGGCTCAATACTGGAGAGCCCTGGGCTTTGCTGGTCTTTATTTTTCTGGTCTCTCAGACAAATGCGCAGCCTTTTCAAACTTTGACCAACTCGTATTAGCTTATTCAAAACTGTGTGAAAAAGAATAAGCCACTGGTACATGCAAGAATTTGGATGACTCACAGATATTATGCTGAGTGAAAGAAACCAGATACAAAAGCCCATATGATTCCACGTATACAAAGCTCAAGAGCAGGCAAAACTGATCTGTGGTGTTAGGAATCAGAATAATGGTTTCTTCCAGGGAGGTACAGACCAGGAAGAGGACCCTTATGAGGTGCTAACAGGTTCAATAGCAGGATCCAGAGGTGTTCACATGGCTGTATACAAATTCATCAGTCTTTATACTTAAGATCAGTGGTCTTTACATATCTTATGTACTTTATTAAACATGTTACAATTTTTTTTTTAATCTCTAGGCTGGGCATGGTGGCTCATGCCTGTAATCCCAGCACTTTGAGAGGCCGAGACGGGTGGATCACTTGAGGTCAGGAATTCTAGACCAGCCTGGCCAACATGGTGAAATCCAGAGTCTACTAAAAAATGTAAAAATGAGCCAGTGTGGTGGGGGGCACCTGTAATCCCAGCCACTCAGGAGGCTGAGGCAGGAGAATCACTTGAACCTGGGAGGTGGAGGTTGCAGTGAGCCAAGATCATGCCACTGCACTCCAGCCTGGGTGACACAGCAAGACCCGTCTTATACATAAATAAAATCTCTAGCTGGGCATGGTGGCTCACGCCTGTAATCTCAGCACTTTGGGAAACCAAGGTGGGAGGATTGCTTGAGGCCACAGTTCAGCACCATCCTGGGCAACATAGTGAGATCTCTTCTTTAGAAAAAAAATTTAAAAATTAGTCAGGCATGGTGGCACAAGCCTGGTAGTCTGGGCTACTTGGGAAGCTGAGGTGGAAAAATCACATGGGCCCAGGAGTTCAAAGCTGCAGTGAACTATGATGACTACACTGCACTCCAGCCTGGGCAACAGAGGGAGGTCCTGTCTCAAAAAAAAAGCGAACAACAACAAAACACACACACACACACACACACACACACAAGACATCTCTAATAAGAGCAGCAATAGAAGAATAATTTTTATTTATTTGTGAAGTCCTTTTGTATAAAAAAATCCCATCTCATCTCCATCAAGCCCCATGAAATAAGCATTGCTACGCCACCGCCATTTTACAGTTGAGGAAACTGAGGCCCAAAGAAGTAGGAACTGACTAAAGTCACATGGTTCAAGATACACAGCCATATATTTGTAACCTTCTTTGAAATATTAATTATGAAATAAAACTTTAATTATAAAACTTAGTCTCACATAGTTATACCGAATTAAATACAGAGGACTTTGCTGATTTTTAGTCGTAAAAAAGAGTTCATCCAACATTCTCTCCTGATTAAACAACATAACAAAACAAAAAAACACAACCCAAAACAGTCAGCTAGGAAGATGAGAGAACTGCCCAACCTGGTAAAAGGCGTCTGTGCAAACCCACGGCTAACATCATACCTCACGGTGAAGACAAAGACTGAAAGCTTCCCCCTGAGATCAGGAGTAAAATAAGGATGCCTACTCTCATCAGTTTCAATCTACATTGTACTGAAAGTTCTTGCCAGGGCAATTAAGCAAGAAAAATAAATAAAAGGCATCCAGATTGGAAAAGCAGAGGTAAAGCTATTTCTACTTGCAGATGAAATGATCTCATACATAGAAAACCCTAAAGAATATACAGAAAGCTATTAGAACCAAAAATGAGTTCAGCAAAGTTCAACAATATCAACACACAAAAATAAGCCGTATTTCTGTACCTCAGCAATAAACAATATGACAATTATATTAAGAATCATTTCCATTTACAATAGCATCAACAATAATAAAGTTATTTGGCAATAAATTTAACCATGGAAAGGAAAGGCTTGCCTTCTGAAAAGTACCAAGCCTTGCTAAAAGAAATTAAGAAAAACTTAAATAAATGGAAAGATACTCCATGTTCCTGGATTGGAGGACTTAATATTGTTAACATAGCAACACTCTCCAAATTGATCAATAGAGTCAATACAACTCTTTGAAAATCTGAGCTTTTTTTCAGAAATGGACGAGTTTATCCTATACCTCATATGGAATCACAAGAGACCCTGAATAGTCAAAACAACATTTAAAAAGAAAAACACAGTTGGAGGACTCACACATCCTGATTTCAAAACTTGCTACAAAGCTACAATAATCAAAGAAGTTTATAGATTGACTGAATAGAATTGAGAGTACGAAAATAAACCTATACATCTACAGTCAATTGATTTTCAACAAGTGTGCTAAGACCATTAAATGGGGGAAACATAGTCTCTTCAACAAATGGTGCTAGGACAGCTGGGTATCCAAACGCAAAGGAACGAAGCCAGGCCCCATGGCTCATGCCTGCAATCCCAGCACTTGGGAGGCCAAGGCAGGAAGATTGCTTGAGCCCAGGAGTTCAAGACCAGCCTAGGTAACATAGTCAGACCCCAGCTCTCCAAAAAACATAATAATAATAAACAAAATTAGCCAGGCACGGTGGTGTGTGCCTGTAGTGTCAGTTACTCAGGAGGCTGAGGTGGAAGGATCACTTGAGCCTAGGAATTCAAGGCTGCAGTGAGCTGTGATTTCGTCATTCCACTCTAGGGTGACAAAGTGAGACCCTGTCTCCCAGGCTGACCCTATATGAAATATCCAAAATAGTCAAATCCATAGAGATAGAAAACAGATTAGTGGTTGCCAGCGTCTAGAGGAGGATAAAAGGAGAATGGCTGCCTAATGGTTCATGGTTTCTTTTGGGGATGATGAAAATGTTATGTAACTAGATTGTGGTGATGGTTACACAATATTGTGAATATATTTAAAAATGCTGAATTGTATACTTTGGTTAAAATGTTAATTTCTTTTTTCTTTGGAGACGGAGTCTCACTCTGCTGCCCAGGCTGAAGTGCAGTGGCATAGTTTTGGCTCACTGCAACCTCCACCTCCCAGGTTCAAGCCATTCTCCTGCCTCAGCCTCCTGAGGAGCTGAGAGTACAGGCACTGCCACCACACCTGGCTAATTTTTGCATTTTTACTATGTTGGCCAGAGTGGTCTCAAACTCCTGACCTCAGGTGATTCGCCCACCTCAGCCTCCCAAAGTGTTGAGATTACAGGTGTGAGCCATCACACTCAGCCAGATTGTCTCATCTAATCATCCCACTACAGTTCTATGAGGCAGGTACAGATTACTGCTAAGGAAACAGAAGCTTGGAGAGGTTGAATAACTTGCTCAAGATCACACCATTATTGAGTGGTCTGGTTGGCACCCGAACCGTGAGAAAGTAACAGATAATCTTTTGTCAGCACGTTATGCTAAGCCAGACACTGAGCCAAGGCTTTTATGTGATTACCTCATTTAGCCTACACAACAACCACATGAGGCAGGCTTTATTGCTTCCATTTTATACATCAGCTGCTAGAGAAACAGAGGTTGGACAGCTTGCCCAAGATCATACAGCTTGTAGGAGGCAGAGCTGGGATTCTTACTGTAAAGGCAACCGCTTTTGCCACTGTACTATTCTGCCTACGTGCAAATGAATGAATGAATGAATGAACAGAGAGACACTCACACATGCAAACAAGTAAATAAATAAAGTGTGGTAGGCCTGGGAGCTGGTCTGATCTCCCAGGGGAGTGGGGCAAAGATAGCGATAGGGGCAGGAAATACCTGGCCCAGCAGAACTTGAGGGGTTAAGTAAGGAGTGAGGAGGAGACGGGTAAGATTGTTGATGAGAAAGGACCCTACACGTGTGCTGATGGTGGGTTACAAGGCCTACTTCATACCCATAAGCAGGCCACGCAGCAGGCCCTAGAGGGCCACACCGGCTCCAGTAAATGACTGTGACCCCCGGGACTTTACCCCAGAGAAACCCACATCCTCACCCAGGCCCAAGGCATAGGTAGACTGGAAGTCTCCCTGCACAAGGAAGGAAAAGTCCATATCCAATCCCTTAGAATATCCTGTTGGCTCGACCTTCAAAATATATCCAGAACCCTATCATTTCTTACCACCTTCATTGCTGTCACTCTGGCCCAAGTCACCATCATCTCTTGCCTGCAGTACTACAGTAGCCTCCTGGTGGACAGGATAATGGTCCTCCAAAGATGTCCATGTCCTCACCCCCAGAATGTCACCTTAAATGGACCTTGCAGAAGTGTTCGGGATCTTGAAATAATTATTCTGGATTTTCCAGCTGGCATCAATGTAATCACAAAACAGAAGCAAGAGGTTTCAAAGTCAGAGACTGCAGAATGCTACCCTTCTGGCTTTGAATGGAGAAAGGGGCCACAAGCCAAGGAATGCAGGTGGCTTCTAGAAACCAGGAAAGACAATGGAACAGATTCTCTTCTAGAGCTTCCAGAAGGACACAGCCCTTCCAACCTCTTGAGTGTAGTCCACTGAGAACCATAGCAGACTTCTGACCTCCAGAGTGGTAAGATAACAAATCTGTGTTGCTTTAAGCCACTAAGTTTCTGGTTCTTTATTACAGAAGCAGGAAGAACCTAATACCTTTCCTCACTGGCCTTCTTGTCTCCATCTTTACTCCTTCCAGCTCATTCTTTGCATGGTAAGCAGAGGTGTCCTTTAAAAAAATATGTGTGTGGTCAGGTGCAGGGGCTCAAGCCCGTAATCCCAACACTTTGGGAGGCTGAGGCAGGCAGATCACTTGAGGCCAGGAGTTCAAGACCAGCCTGGGTAACACGATGATCCCCCATCCCTAAAAATACAAAAATTAGCCAGGTGTGGTGGCACGCCTGTAGTCTCAGGAGGCAGAGGCATGAGAATCGCTTGAACCTGGGAGGTGGAGGTTGCAGTGAGCCGAGATCACGCCACTGCACTCCAGCCTGGGTGACAGAGAGAGACTCTGTCTAAGGAAAAAAAAAAAAATATATATATATATATATTTTTTTTTTTTGACATCTGACATATATATATATGTTTTGACATCGGACGTATGTATGTATGTCAGATTCAGTCACTGAAAGCTCAGAACCCTCCAATGGCTCTCCATGTCCCTCAAGTAAAATCCAAAGTCCTTTCAACGCCCCTCAAGTCCCTACATGATGTCATGTTTTCCCGTCACCTCCTCGCCCTCCTCCTTTCCAGTGCCTCACTCCAGCCACACTGGCCTCTCTGCTGTTCCTCAAACACCAGCACCCCCCAAACTCTCAAAACCTCTCCTCGCCTCTACTTTTTTCCTTGTCTGTAGTACCCAGCACCTCCTAACATTTGCAACTTACTTATCTACTTTGTAGTTTATCATCTGCTTCCTCCACAAAGGATCTCCACAAATCATTGTTTTGCTCACTATGTATCATCAATGATGACGTATCATCAAAGAACTATTGACCCGGCACAGTGCCTCACGACTGTAATCCCAGCACTTTGGGTGGCCAAGGCAGGTAGATCACGAGGTCAGGAGTTCAAAACCAGCCTGGCCAAGATGGTGAAACCCCATCTCTACTAAAAATGCAACAATTAGCCGGGCATGGTGGTGGGCACCTGTAATCCCAACTACTCAGGAGGCTGAGGCAGAGAATTGCTTGAACCCGGAAGGTGGAGGTTGCAGTGAGCCAAGATGGCGCCACTGAACTCTAGCCTGGGCAACAGAGGGAGACTCCATCTCAAAAAGAAAAAAAAAAAGAACTATGCCTGGCACATAGTAGGTACTCAATAAATATTTGTTGAATGAATAAATAAGTGGACTGAGATAGAAGTGACCTGGGAAGCAGCCTTGCCTTGATGAGACTTTGGATAAGACCTTCTCCCTCCCAGGGCTTCACTTTATTCCCTGTGGTTCTTCAAAGGACCCAAGGCCCTGAAGTTGGGCCTTGGCCTCCTGCCTCAGGGTTCTGTGCCTAAGTCTACCCAAGGCACCCTGAGCTAGTAAGAGGTCACCCCCATACCTTAGAAGGATCCTGCTCACCTCCCTGATCACCACCCTTCAGGCTCTGAAAGCCTCGTGTGTGGGGAGGTCACTTGCTGGCAGCCTTGGGGTTTGGGAGCCCCAGTAGCTGCCACCTCCCCAAGGGAGACAAAACTAGTCCAACCAGTTCTCCTGGGCCACAGGGACACCTGCTCTGTCAACCAAGACTTCCAAGCCACCTGCCTTAGTCATTTGGCCCAGATATTCTCTGCTCCCTCTTTGAACAAAGGAAGATATCCTTTTATACCAGACATTAGTTCCCAGGACCCTGGATCGGTCGTATCTCAGGCTACATGACAGATTCTCCCTCAGCCTCCCTGGGGTGAGAGGAGGGGGTGGGTAAAGTGGGTCTTGTTCTTTCAAAATGCTGTTTTTCATTCATTCGACAAATACTGATCAAACAATTCTTGGGAAGGTCTAAGCACTGCAGACGTATCAGGAACAAAACAGACAAAAGTCGATGCCTTTGTGGACCTTTCGTTTCTAATGAGGACAGCAGACAATACACAAATGTCTAATATAATGGCAAGGGTGATGAATAAAAATAAAATAGGATAAAGAATCTAACATAGACAGACTGGCCAAGGAAAACCTCTCAGAGGAAATGAGGCTTGTTTTTGTTTTGAGTCTTACTCCATCGCCCAGGCTGGAGTGCAGTGGCATGATATTGGCTCACTGCAATCTCCACCTCCCGGGTTCAAGTGATTCTCCAGCCTCAGCCTCCCGAGTAGTTGGGATTACAGGCGCACACCACCACACCCTGATAACTTTTGTGTTTTTTAGTAGAGACAGGGTTTCTCCACGTTGGCCAGGTTGGTCTCGAATTCCTGATCTCAAGTGATCCGCCCACCTTGGCCTCCCACAGTGCTGGGATTACAGGTGGGAGCCCGTAATTACACTACGCCTGGCTGGAAATGAGTTTTGGACAGAGGCGAATAGGAGGAGGGAGCCCGCCTTATGAAAATCTGGGGAAAGCTCATTCTAGGTGGAGGGAATAGCAAGTGGGAAGGTTTGGAGGCAGGAATTAGCGTACACGGTGGAGGAGCAGCAAGAAGGCAGATGTGGCTGGAGTGGAGGGAAAGAAGGAGAGCGGTGGGAGGCCAGGCTGAAGAGTTAGGTAGGGGCCACATCACACAGAGCCTTGAAATTCCCGGGGAAAACACAGGCTTCCATTCTGGGACAGATCAGAAGCCACTGGAGGGTTTTACTTATTTATTTATTTTTTGGAGATAGAGTCTCGCTCTGTCACCCAGACTGGAGTGCAGTGGCACCATCTCAGCTCACTGCAACCTCCGCCTCCCAGGTTCAAGTGATTCTCCTGCCTCAGCCTCCTGAGTAGCTGGGATTACAGGCACATATCACCCCGTCCAGTTAATTTTTTGCATTTTTTAATAAACACGGAATTTCACTATGTTGGCCAGGCTGGCCCCGAACTCCTGGGCTTAAGTGATCTGCCTACCTCAGCCTCCCAAAGGGCTAGGATATCAGGTGTAAGCCACCATGCCCGGCCCACTGGAGAGTTTTTTTTTTTTTTTTTTTTTTTTTTTTGAGACAGAGTTTCACTCTTGTCACCCAGGCTGGAGTGCAATGGCGCGATCTCAGCTCACCGCAACCTCTGCCTCTTGGGTTCAGGCAATTCTCCTGCCTCAGCCTCCTGAGTAGCTGGGATTACAGGCACGCGCCACCATGCCCAGCTAATTTTTTGTATTTTTAGTAGAGACGGGGTTTCACCATGTTGACCAGGATGGTCTCGATCTCTTGACCTCGTGATCCACCCGCCTCGGCCTCCCAAAGTGCTGGGATTACAGGCTTGAGCCACCGCGCCCGGCCTTGTTTATTTTTTTAAAGGGTGGAGGAGGAGGCAGGATGGAACGCTCCGGGTGGCTCACCCGTCCACACACTCCACCGCCCCCCCCCTTTTTTTTTTTTTTGAGGTAGAATTTCGCTCTTGTTGCCCAGGCTGGAGTGCAATGGCACAATCTCAGCTCACCGGAACCGCCACCTCCCGGGTTCAAGCGATTCTCCTGCCTCAGCTTCCCAAGTGGCTAGGATTATAGGCATGCGCCACCGTGCCCGGCTGATTTTGTTATTTTCAGGAGAGACAGGGTTTCTCCATTTTGGTCAGGCTGGTCTCGAACTCCCGACCTCAGGTGATCCGCCTGCCTTGGCCTCCCAAAGTGCTGGGATTACAGGCATGAGTCACCGCGCCGGGCCCACTGGAGAGTTTTAAACAGGAAAAGTGACATAGTCTGATTCAGGCTCTAGAAAGATACTTTGGGCTGGTATCAAGATAATGGATCATGATAGGTAAAGAAACAAAGCAAAGACACCAGAGGGACCCAATAAATACAGGAGTCCATGCAAGAGAGGCCGGCAGCCTGGACCAGGGTGGTGGTGGCTGAGGAAGTGAGGAGTCGTTGAGCCTAAAGAGGTTCCAAATAAAACTCCAGCCTATCAGAACTGGCGAGAGCTTTAGAAATTCTAAAGCCTAACATAAATTTTGCAGTCAGTCAGTCCTAAGGTTTAAGCCTACCTCTACACATTCTGGCTGGGAGTCCTTGGTCAGGTTGCTACACCTCTCTGAGCCTCGGATCCCCCATCTGTAAATCAGGCATGGTAAGACAGCGTGCTTGCATTCCACGGAGTGTCATGAGGATGCAGTGACATGTATTAAACCACACAGCACAGACTTGGCACTAAGTAGTCACTCAATAAAGCTAGTCATGACACAACCGCCCACATTTGCTGATAGAGAAACCGAGGCTAGCTACCTTAGAGGCAGAGAGGGGACTAGAAGGGGGAAGGGAGGAAGGGAAGTAGGCTTGATGGGGTTCCTCAAGCCACATACTCCCAAAGTCCAGACAGTGACATGGGTGAGTAAACAGCAAGAAACATGAAAAATCATGTGGCCTTTCTGGCCCTCCTGTTTTCTACTCTTTTTTCTTTTTCCTTTTCTTTCTTTTTTTTTTTTTTTTCTGAGACATGGTCTTGCTCTGTCACCCAGGCTGGAGTGCACTGAGGCCATCACAACTCACCAAAGCCTCCATCTCCCAGGTTTTAGCGACCTCCCACCTCAGCCTCGTGAGGCAAACACCACCATGCCCGGCTAATCTTTTTAATTGTTTGTGGAGACGGGGTCTCACTATGTTGCCCAGGCTGGTCTTGAACTCCTGGGCTCAAGCAGTCTTTCCTTGGCTTCCCAAAGTGCTGGGATTACAGACGTGAGCCACCACACCAGCCTTGTTTTCCTACTTTTAAGAGACATGAGAACTTAGAAATATTTCTCTACTCTAAAATAAAATAAGTACAGTAAATAGCAAGTGACATTCAGCTGCAATATAGAGGAGTTGGCAGGGAATGGCAGGGACTGTGGCCACCTCCTTGATATTGCAGCACACATGTCCATCTGAAGGGCCAGCTAGCCAGCCTCACCTGATTGGCCCTCCAGTGCCAGACACCCTGATTTTCAGTAGAGGTCAGAAAACCAGATTTGTATGTGAAATGTCCCAATTTTTACTTTCAAATTTATTTATTTATTTATTTCCTGAGACACAGTTTCACTCTTGTTGCCTGGGCTGGAGTGTAATGGCACAATCTCGGCTCACTGTAATCTCTACTTCCGGATTCTCCTGCCTCAGCCTCCCAAGTAGCTGGCATTACAGCTGCCCACCACCATGCCCAGCTAATTTTTGTATTTTTAGTAGAGATGGGCTTTCACCATGTTGGCCAGGCTGGTCTTGAACTCCTGACCTCAGGTGACCCACCCGCCTCGGCCTCCCAAAGTGCTAGGATGACAAGCATGAGCCACCACGCCCAGCCTTATTTTATTTTGAGAAAGGGTCTCAGGGTCACACAGGCTAGAGTGCAGTGACACAATCTTGGTTCACTGCAACCTCCACCTCCCAGGCTCAAGCAATCATCCCACCCCAGCCTCCCGAGTGGCTGGGACTATAGGTGTGTGCCACCACGCCCGGCTAATTTCTGGATTTTTTGTACAGAAGGGGTTTCTCCATGTGGCCCAGGCTGATCTGAAACTCCTGAGCTCAAGTGATCTGCCTGTCTTGGCCTCTGAAAGTGCTGGGATTACAGGTGTGAGCCATCACGCCCAGCCAAATGTCCTGATGTTTACATTTTCTAATTGCTTCTGGAGTAGAGGAGCATAGTAGATTTGTATAGACTGATCTTGCTATTATTTCAGCCCTTCCAATCCTGATACTATTTCTTTCTTTTTCTTGCTCTATTACTCTGGCCAGGCCACTAATGTAAAGTTTGAGTCCTAATAGCAGCCATCCTTGTCTCGTTCCTGACATGTAGCATCTCACATTTCACCACTGCAGTATATTTTAGATTTATTTTTAAATGTTGGCTCACTTTTTCAGACACTGAGGATGCCAAACTGTCTTCTGGAGCTGCCATGAGCAGCCAATTTGTGATCTCTGCTTTACCTGAATTCTTTCCCTGAACTGTGACAGCAACCTCACCAGGTAGGTACTATTATTCCCTGCACTGACATGAGGAAATCGAGGTTCAGAGAGGTGAAGTGACTTGCCATAGTCACACAGCCAGGAAGGGCAGAGCCAAATTCAAACCCAGCTCTGCTTGACACCAAAGACTGTAATCTTTCTTTGTTCGTTTGTTTGTTTTTGAGACAGAGTCTTGCGTGTGTGTGTGTGTGTGTGTGTGTGTGTGTGTGAGACAGTTACTCTTGGAGTCTTACAGAGTAAACTCTTTGCTCTTTGTCTGTCCAGGAGTTTACTCTGTCACCCAGGCTGGAGTGCAGTGGTACGATCTCAGCTCACAGAACTTCCGTCTCTCGAGTTCAAGAGATCCTCCTGCCTCAGCTTCCAGAGTAGCTGGGATTACAGGCATACACCACCACGAATGGCTAATTTTGTATTTTTAGTAGAGATGGGATTTCGCCATGTTGGCCAGGCTGGTCTCAAACTCCTGGCCTCAGGTGATCTGCCAGCCCTCACCTCCCAAAGTGCTGGGATTACAGGCGTGAGTCACTGTGCCCAGTCAAAGACTGTGATCTTTCTCGGGGTGGAGTGGAAGCCTGGATGCCTAGGCCAGCCCCTTTTTATGCTCCACTCTATCCAGCATCTTGGGGTTCAATGGCGCACCCTGGGTCCTGGAGCAGCTGTCACCAACTTTCAGTTAAACATTATAGCTGGCTGGGCGTGGTGGCTCATGCCTGTAATCCCAGCACTTTAGGAGGCCAAGGGAGGCAGATCAGGAGGTCAGGAGTTCCAGACCAGCCTGGCCAAGATGGTGAAACCGCGTCTCTACTAAAAATCCAAAAATTAGCTGGGCATGGTGGCGCATTCCTGTAATCCCAGCTACTCAGGAGGCTGAGGCAGGAGAATTGCTTGAACTAGGACCTGGGAGGTGAAGGTTGCAGTGAGCCGAAATCGTGCCACTGCACTCCAGCCTGAGCTACAGAGCAAGACTCCCATCTCAAAAAAACAAAACAAGAAAAGTTATAGCTGATGTAGGTATGTACTCCTTGTCTGTGATCTGGCTCTGTGGCCTGGCTCTGCCATTTCCCTGCTGTGTGACTTTGGGCTGCTTCACCTTAATGTGCCTGTTGCCTCATCTCAGCTGCAAGATGGGATGAAAAGTAGGGCATATATTGAAGTGCTTGGGATGGTGCCAGGCACTCAATAACTAATAAATATTACTTCTCGGCCGGGCACAGTGGCTCACACCTGTAATCCCAGCACTTTGGGAGGCCGAAGCAGGCAGATCACCTGAGGTCAGGAGTTTGAGACCAGCCTGGCTAACATGGCGAAATGCCATCTCTACTAAAAATACAAAAATTAGTGGGGTATAGTGGCACATACCTGTAATCTCAGCTACTCAGGAGGCTGAAGCAGGAGAATCGCTTGAACTCAGGAGGCAGAGGTTGCAGTGAGCTGAGATCGTGCCATTGTACTCCAGTAATAATAAATAAATAAATGTTGCTTCTCATGCTTACCAGTAGGTGTGTAGGCCTGTGTACACTGACATTAGGAAGAAGATGATGTTTTTAACGTTTCCTTGAACGCCATTGTTACAATTTTTTTAAGTGCTCACTGTCTCCCATGGATTCTTCATTATGTGGTGAATAAAGTGCAGATTCCTTAACCTGCATCTAAGGCCCTCTCTGATTCATCAACCCATACTTCAATAGCGGAAAGTGGCTAAGAACCCATGGAGGCAGGCTGCCCCAGCTTGAATCCCAGCTCCGCAACATTCCTGGCTGTGTGAGCCTGGGTGAGGAAGTTTGACCCTCTGGGCCTGAGATTCTTAGCTGTAAAATACAGAAAGTAACAGCACTCACATGACAGGCTGAGGCAATGTGACTGTAAACAGCCTGGCACAGTGTCCCTCATGTGGAAAAGCTGGAAGCATCAGCCCTGATCATGACCCCCTGAGACCTCTGAGACCTCCGGTCATGCTGGAACATCCACCAGCCTCAGAACATAGCAGGCCCCGCACGTCCCACCTCAAGCTGTTCGTTCATGCCCTGCTTTCACCCAGCACACCTTCCTCTATCAATCCACCCACCAAGCTCTCCAGGCCAAGGCCATACTCCGGGCCAAAGCCCAGCTCCAGCAGCATCCCCTTCCTGTCACCACCAATCGCCCTTTGACCTTTGTCCAGGCGGGTATACTTACACACCTCACCCCCACCAACTCTGCCCCTCCTACCATGTCACACCCTTCCTGAGGACGTGGGAAGCCAGGCCTGGCTCTGAGCTCCAGCCCTGAGTCCCAACACAGAGGCCTCAGGGACCTGCCAGCCTTCAAAACAATTCAGTCATCCAATGGAGTCCAACAGCCCAGAAGGGTGGCTGTGAGGATAAACAGGAAGACACTGGTCAAGGCCTCTTTTTCCTTCTCGCCTCCTCATGAGCCAGGTAGGCCTCCCACCAGGACCCCACTGAGCGGGAGGAGGGAGCACTGGACGTGAGGATATTGACGGCCTCCAGAAGCCCATGTGAGAGGGATTTCTGCGCATGATTACAACGGGTTTAGAGGTGGCTAGCAGTCCTGAATTCCCACAAGTGAATACAAACCCATCCCCCATGGGGTGCTGTCCTGGACTGTGTTCTGTGAATGGGTGTTCCGAATTTCCTTTTTTTTAATATCTTTTGAGACTGGGTCTTGCTCAGTTGCCCAGGCTGGAGTGCAGTGGTGCAATCTCAGCTCACAGTAGCCTCAACTTCCTGGGCTCAAGTAATCCTCCCACGTCAGCCCTCCCGCACCCGCCACCATGTCCAGCTAATTTTTTTTTTTTTTTAGACAGGATCTCACAGGCTGGAATGCAGTGATGCAATCTCAGCTCACTGCAACCTCTGCCTCCTGGATTCAAGTGATTCACCTGCCTCAGCCTCCCAAGTAACTGGAATTACAGGTGCATGCCACCACGCTTGGCTAATCTTTGTATTTTTAGTCAAGATGGGATTTCACCATATTGGCCAGGCTGGTCTCGAACTCCTGACCTCAGGTGATCCAACTGCCTCGGCCTTCCAAAGGGCTGGGATAACAGGCATAAGCTGCCACGCCGGCCTTGCTTCCCTTATCATCTCTCCATCACTCCCCCGTGTGACCGCTCGGGACCCCACAGCCACCACAAGCTTCAGAGAGGAGTGCTGCCACCTAGGGGCAAAGAAGGAAACTGCCACAGCTTGGCCCAAGCCACCTGGACACATGTTACAACAAAAACATTTATTGAGCACTTTCTGCGTGCCGGGTGCCATATCAAGCCCCTGGTGCATTTCATCATACTGGATCCCCAGGACAACCCTATGAGGTAGTAGCATCGTAAGCCCCATTGTACAGATGAGGAACACGGGGCTCAGAGAGGTGAAGTGACTTGCCCAAGGTCACACAACAAGTGTGTGGCAACTCTTGGATTTGAAGCCAGATCTGTCTCATAGCTGCAGTCTAGCCGTGACACTTGAGTGCCTCCTAAAAGCCTACATCACAGAGCTGTCTGAGGATGCTATGGGGAACCGTCTGTGAAAAGGTCCAATAGCTAAACTCCGTCCATGGCAGGCATCCTGAAGAGCATCGGGCTAGAGGCCACCAGGAGGCAGCCTGGAGGCAGGGTGGACAGGACCACCCTGTCTTCTCTCCTAGGGGGCCCAATCACCAGCCTGACAGCCGGACCCCAGTCTGCTCAGGCTCCAGCCATCTCTCTCCTGCCACGGCTCTGCCATGGGCAGCCCTATCCACATGGGCAGCCCTGCCCACGACCCTGAATGTTCCAGGGCTTTGCAGGAGAAAGGACCAGGAGGGTGGCCACGGGCCAAGGTTTATGAATTACATTCAGCAGGATTTCTGCCAATGTCTTGATGGCTCGCTTCCACTGGGAAGGATCTCCAGTCTGCCTGGACCCAAACAGGAGCAACAGGCCTGCCCAGGAAACAGACACCCCAGCTCCATCACTCCGAGGCCTGGATGTAGACAGGCACAGCGAGCATGGCACAGGGGCCCTCAGCCCCGGCCTGCAGCTCCGCCAGAGCCAGGTTGGAGCCCAGCCCCTCAGCATGCCCAGGTACCACGAGCTCCGGCTCTGCGCCCACTGCACCTCCCACAACGATGGACAGCACCGCGTCCGGCTCTGCGAAGGGCGGTTTGCCAGGGACAGCCTCGGGCACCAGCCCAGCCCCTGCATCCTTCAGCTCCTCCAGCCCCAGCGGGTCAGGCAAGGGGGTCACCACCTTGCGCCCACCAGTGCTGCCACTGCGGGGGGCTGCCCTCCTCTGGGGGGGACGCCGGGTCTGCAGGTCCTTGTCCTTTTGGGGGCCAAGACGACAGCGGTGATCTTTGAGGTGTTTGGGGCGGGAAAAGCCCTTGGCACAGCCAGCACAGCGGAACTTGTAGTTGCCCGTGTGGGCACGCTGGTGCTCAGCGAGGTGGGCACGGCGGCTGAAGGACTTGCTGCACAGGGCGCATTTGTGGAGCTTCATGCCTGGGGGGGGGTGAGGGAAAGTCAGTGAGAAGCATCCAGACCTTCACCCCGCAACAGTGCCCTGCACTGGGAATCAAATCCAGGCTCTTGCCCCACAAGCGCCTGTATGATCTGGCCCCAACTCTCTCCACCATCATCATCTGCCTTCTCCCAGCCACTCTCTGTGCCAGCCACAGCCGCTGTCCTCAGAGGTGCCACGCTGGCTCCTGCTTCTGCAGCTCTGCACCTGTGGTTTTCCTCTGCCTGGAGCAGCCGCTCATTCCTTGCACCTTGGCTCGCTCTGCCAGGTCCTCTCTCACCTGGGTGACCAGGGCAGCAATCTCCACTCTGCTCTGCCCCACTCATTCAGCCCCCTAGACCATCCCCCACAGGGCAGCTGGAGATGTCGGCAAAACACACACATGATCATGACATACCGGCCCCCAACCTCTCATGGTCTCTGGGGCTGTCTGGTCCTCCCCTTCAGCCCTCAGTTCCTTCCCCTACCCCTCTCCCTCTCCTCTCTGTGCTCCAGGCCTCCCACCTACCTTTCCTTGTCCCTGCCTCAAGGCTAGTACTTGATGCTCCCTCACTCTGGAAAGCTATTTCCTGGCCCTTCTCATCCCTCAGGACTCAGCCATCATACCACCTCCTCAGGGGGCCTCCTTGATACATGCACCCTGTTTATTTCCATCTTGGCCCTCGGCATACTTTGCTGTTATGTGTTTATTTGTTCAATGGTTATTTTCTGTCTCTTCCACTAAATGTTAGGCACCCCAGGAGGGCAGGATGGCATTCTGCCTCTCTGATTCCTTCTGCCTGACATATGGTTGGTTCTCAAAAATCACTGGTGCCTCCATGTCCACAATGAAATCAACTCTAGCCCACACTCCCCCTGGGCTGGGCACCTGCATTTGGCCCCCTCAACCTCGCTGGAATGGAGGCTCAGAGAGGGGCAGTGCCTTGCCTGAGGCTACCCAGCAGGAAAGCGGCAGCGCCAAGACTCAAACCCAGCCCTGTGTGTCCAAGTCCTTGACCTACTCTCCCAGTTTTCAAACTTTCTTTGGCCACTGATCCCTTTCTGTAAATCTCCTCAAACAGGGGAGACTTTACCTCTCAGGGACTCAGCAATGCCTAGAGACATTTTTGGTTGTCACAACTGTGGGGGGATGCCACTGACACCCAGTGGGTAGAGGCCAAGGGTGCAGCTAAACATCCTGCAGGGCACAGGACAAAATTATCTGGCCCAGGCCGGGCGCGGCGGCACATGCCTATAATCTCAGCACGTTGGGAGTCTGAGGTGGGCAGATCACTTGAGGTCAGGAGTTCTAGACCAGACTGACCAGCAGGGTGAAACCCCATTTCTACTAAAATACAAAAATTAGCTGGGCCTGGTGGTGGGCACCTGTAATCCCAGCTACTAGGGAGGCTGAGGCAGGAGAATTGCTTGAACTGGGGAGGGCCGAGATCATGCCACTGCACTCCAGCCTGGGCAATAAAGCAAGACTCTGTCTCAAACACAAAAAAAATTTATCTGGCCCAAAATGTCGATGGTGCCAGGGTTGAAGAACCTTGTTCTCGACCTCAGCTGGCATGTGGAAGGCCAGCCAGGCTGCTCTGAGGAGCTGCTGAGAAACTGAGGAGTGGCTTGGAGACCCCTGCCCTACCCTACCATCAAGGAAGCTTCCTGGCCATGTCTTGGACCCAGCTGATTCCCTCCACACCTGGTCCACACCTCTATCACACTGGGCACCGTTCCGACTGAGTCATCTCTGCTCAGGTCAGCTTCCTCCTTGGACTGGGGGACTATGTCTGATTCATCTCTGTTCACCCTAAAGTCCCTGACTCAGGCCTGGCTCATAGCCCACATAACTGAATGTGCCAGGCAGGGAAATCAAGCCTCACGGGTTATGTCTGCTCTTTCTCCTCCTGTCGAGTCTATCCAAGTGAACTAGAGCTGAACCAGACCCTCCTGGCAGGCCCATGAGCCACTTACCAGAGTGGGAGAGGATGTGGGCCTTCAGCTTGTCCGGTCGGTTGAACTCCTTACTGCAGCCTGTGTGCGTCCTAAAACCCAAAGTCACTGGTCAGGGGGAGTTCACCAAGCTTAGGACCCTCTTGCTGGCCCCGCCACTATCCCTGAACATGAGGGACACTCTTGTCCACCCTAAGGGCTGGTCAAGGAGGTAAAGTGGGGAGTGAGGCATGTAGGGCCCAGAACAAGATAAAAGGAGAAAGACCTGCCCAGGCATGGTGGCTGACGGCTATAATCCCAGGTACTTGGGAGGCTGAGGGAGGAGAATCGCTTGAACCCAGGCGGTAGAGGTTGCAGTGAGCCGAGATCGTGCTACTGCACTCCAGCCTAGAGTGAGACTCCGTCTCACACACACACAAAAAAGAGAACCCTGACTTCAGGCCTGCCATCTGTCTCACCCTCCCTAGCAGCCCTGCTGGAGAATGTGCCTTGCTAGCTACCCCCGTGCATGGCAGTCTCTACTCACGAGAAAGGGCATTTGTATTTCTTGAAGGGCTCGTGGATCAACATGTGTCTCTTCAGTTTGTCCTTGCGGTTGAATGCAGACTCGCACACTGAGCATTTGTAGGGCTTCTCACCTGCAGCAGACACAGACAGGGAGCACCAGCACCCATCAGAAGGAGTTGGAATCCAGAGCACAAGGGTGCCCACTGGGCAACGTCTCCTCAAGAAGGGAGGTGGCCAGGGGGAAAATAGCCTCTCTCATTCTTCGTGGCTTTCTTTTGCCAGGGACAAGAGGGGGCTATTTGCCAGGGACAAGGATGATCAGGAGGGGCCTCTCTGATGACGACATGTGTGAGGAGAGACCTGAGGTTATCAGGGAGATCTGGGAGAGGGTCCAGGCAGCAGAGAAAGCAGGTGCAAAGACCCTGAGGCAACAGTGGATTTGGTGGTGCTCATGAGCAGCAGGGAGGCTGGTGCAGCCAGAGAACCAGGCAGAAGGTGAGGGCAGCGGGGCAGCCAGGCCCACCTGGGAGGACCTGGAAGGCTGAGCTACGGACTTGGCTTTTTTTAATTTGAGACAGAACCTTGCTCTATCACCCAGGCTGGGGTGCAGTGGTGAGATTTCAGCTCACTGCAACTTCCTACCTCAGGCTCCCAAGGAGATGGGATTTACAGGCATGTGCCACCACGCCCAGCTAATTTTGGTATTTTTAGTAGAGATGGGTTTTCACCATGTTGACCAGGCTGGTCTCGAACTCCTGACCTCAAGTGATCCGCCCACTCAGCTTCCCAAAATGCTGGGATTACAGGCGTGAGCCACTGCCGGCCAGGTTTGGTTTTTACTCTGAGCCAGATGAGAAGCCACCAGAGGGCCTGAGCAGCGAAGGAAAGGGCTTTGATGTAAGCTTTTAACAGGATCCCTCTGTCTGCGTGAGGAGAGCAGACTGATGGGGTGAGGGTGGAGGTGAGGGTAACCAGGAAGTGGTCCAGGACAGCCATGGCGGGAAGGCAGAGGCAGCAGCCCCTGCCTCTGGATTAGCTGTGATTGTGAGAGATGCAGGGGGAGTCAAGGATGAAACTGAGGCGTGGCCTGAGTAGCAAGGTGGCCTCACGGCATTTATGGCGATGAGATCCACCCTGGAGGACGAGCAATCACACCTTATCTAACTGAATCCTTCCAACAAACCAGGAGGCACGTGCTCCCATCATCCCCGTTTCACAGATGAAAAGACTGAGGTTCAGAGAAGTGAAGGGACTGGCTCAGGGGCTACCCCTGTGGTTGGAGGAGCTAAGATTTCAGCCCATCTGAGCTACCCCAGCTCTTCCTGCTGTTGAACCTGTCCTGGGGCAGCTCTCGCCTGATGGGTGACCTGAGGAACCCATAGGAAATCAAGGGAGGTGCCTACAAAGTTCCCATGAGGTCACAGCCTGCCTTTGGATGGAAGGGGCCATTTCTGGGCTGCTGTGACTTCCTGCCATTATTTCCTCTCTTCTCCCTCTGGAATGAATAAAGTACTTCTGAAAAAATATCAATCCAGTTGATACGGAAATTCTAGTCCCTACTATGGAATGCTCTGTGGTCGTTAAAAAGATTAAAGAGGTCAATCTGTTGTTTCCTGATCTGAAAGGATCCGGACATATTGATTGCTGGGGGGAACGACAGCAATAGAAGAGCTGAACACAATCTCAGCTTAGAAAAAAATATAATCCCTACAGGATATGGAAGCTCAAAAAAGAGAAGAGAAAGAGAGAGAGAGAGAGAAAGAAAAAGAAAGAAGGAAGGAAGGAAGGAAAAGAAAGAAAGGAAAAGAAAAGAAAGAAAAATACAACCCATACACCCCACAAAAGCCATAGCCATGTGTCTCTGTATATAAACTGAAGACTCAAGGAGAAAGATGGGAGGTAGAGAGAGAGGACAGACAAACTGTCAGTGGCAACTACAACTTTGGGGAAATTTCACATTTTATGTACTCCTATATTGCTTCCATTGTTATAATAAGCATGCATTACTTTTATGGTTTTTTTTTTTTTTTTTTTTTTTTTTTGAGACAGAGTCTCACTTTGTCACCCAGGCTGGAGTGCAGTGGCTCGATCTTGGCTCACTGCAACCTCCTCTTCCTGGGTTCAAGCAATTTTCCTGCCTCAGCCTCCCAAGTAGCTGGGATCACAGGTGCACACTACCACGCCCAACTAACTTCTGTAATTTTAGAAGATGAGGTTTCACCATGTTGGTAAGGCTAGTCTCAAACCCTTAACCTCAGGTGATCCATCCATCTTGGCCTCCCAAAGTGCTGGGATTACAGGTATCAGCCACCACGCCTGGCAGCATGTATTACTTTTGAATAATAATTTTTGAAACCATAAAGAGCAATTTGGTAATATCAAACTTACAATGCATTACTTTTTTTTCTTTCTTTATTGTGGAGAAACATACATAACAGAAAATTGACCATCTTAAGCTTCTTTTAATTATACAGTTTAGTGGCACTAAGTACGTTTGCACTATTATGCAACCATCACCACCATGTCTCTAGAATTTTTTCCATCATCCCAAACCAAAACTCAGTATTACACGTGCACTTTAACCTAGCATTTCCCCTCCTAAGAATGTACACCACAGATACACTCCCAAAAGCTTGCCAAGGGACCCACACAGCACTGTGTATGCAAACTAATAGCTGAAATGTAATTTAAGGATCCATACATAGGCCAAGTGTGGTGGTTCATACCTGTAATCCCAGTACTTTGAGAGGCTGAGGCAGGGGGATCCCCTGAGGTCAGGAGTTTGAGACCAGCCTTGCCAACATGGTTAAACCTCATCTCTACTAAAAATACAAAAATTAGCCGGGCATGGTTGTGCACACCTGTAATTCCAGCTACTTGGAAGGTTGAGGCAGGAGAATTGCTTGAACCCAGGAAGTGGAGGTTGCAGTGAGCCAAGATGATGCCACTGCAGTCCAGCCTGGTCAACAGAGTAGGACTCATTCTCAAAAAAAAAAGGGTTCATAAATCGAGAATTGGTTAAATACAAGAAGAAAAATTCGTTGAGGAAGACTATTCAAATGTGAAAAAGAAAGTGCTGTTGGTAAAATCTTTTTGGGGGGCCCAGGGGAGGGTGGCCCACAGAATTTAGCTTCCAGGGGAACTGTAAGCACACATCCCCTGGAGAACATCGTCAAGGTATATAAGAAAAAAAGGCATATAAGTTGTAGTATGTGCTCATTTTTGCAAAAGTAAGCAAGCATTTTGTATAAGCGTAAAATAAAACTAGAAGAATGCAGACGAGACCACTAACACTAGTTATCTTTGGGGAAGAGAATTAGGAGTATTTTGCAAACTGCAAACTATAAGTCACACCCTGCTGGTGGTTATTTTAAGAACTAAAAATAGGTCGAACACGCAGTGGCTCACACCTGTAATCCCAGCACTTTGGGAGGCCAAGGTGGGTGGATCAACTTGAGGCCAGGAGTTTGAGACCAGCTTGGCCAACATGTTGATCCAACCAGGTGGATCAACTTGAGGCCAGGAGTTTGAGACCAGTTTGAAACCCTGTCTCTACCAAAAATACAAAAATTAGCCAGGCACGGTGGCGTGAGCCTGTAATCCCAGCTACTCAGGAGGCTGAGGCACAAGAATCGCTTGAACCTGGGAGCCAGAGGTTGTAGTGAGATCACACCACTGCAATCCAGCCTGGGGGACAGAGTGAGACCCTGTCTAAAAAAAATAATAAAAATAAAAGAATCGGCCAGGCATGGTGGCTCATGCCTGTAATCCCAGCACTTTGGGAGGCCAAGGCGGGCGGATGTCCTGAGGTTGCGAGTTCGAGACCAGCCTGGCCAACATGGAGAAACTACATCTCTATTAAAAATACAAAAGTAATGGGCATGGTTGTAATCCCAGCTACTCGGAAGGCTGAGGCAGAAGAATCGCTTAAATCTAGGTAGAGGTTGCAGTGGGCCAAAATTGCACCACTGCACTCCAGCCTGGGTGACAAGAGCAAAACTGTGTCTCAAAAATAAATAAATAAACAAATGAACTTGAAACAAATAAATAAAATTAAACAGGAAAAAAACAGAAAATACTGCTTTGAAAAACTTTTGTTGCAATATATTCTATGTGTATACATGTGCTTCCTGGGTTGCAATATGAAATGTATTTTTGCTACAGGTCATATGAAAGAAAAACAAAAGGAAAAACATTAGATTTTCTATCTGAAGTGAGAGGAGAGTTTATTTTTATTACACATGCTTTTGTCCTGTCCAGGACTTTCCCTCAGCTTTTCTCAATCTTTAGATCCTTTTCAATTAAAAAACAATTTAAAAAAATTAACAAATTAAAAAACATCTCGGGCCGGGCGTGGTGGCTCACACCTATAATCCCAGCACTTTGCGAGGCCGAGGCAGGTGGATCACGAGGTCAAGAGATCGAGACCATCCTGGTCAACAAGGTGAAACCCCATCTCTACTAAAAATACAAAAATTAGCTGGGCATGGTGGTGCGTGCCTGTAGTCCCAGCTACTCGGGAGGCTGAGGCAGGAGAATTGCTTGAATCCAGAAGGCGGAGGTTGCAGTGAGCCGAGATCGTGCCATTGCACTCCAGTCTGGGTAACAACAGCGAAACTCCGTCTCAATAAAATAAAATAAAATAAAATAAAAAATAAAAAAATTAAAAACACCTAAGGATTAATAGAAAAGAAAATGTCACTGTGTCTCAACTGGGGAACCAAGGACGGGGGCTTTGTCCAGGTTTGGGGGAAACTTACAGTGAGAGCAGCATCCCCACCACAGGGGGCAGAGTCAAGAGTCCCTCACATGCCACCTCCAGGGGCTCTTCTCTGCTCCAGTGGCGGTGGGAAACACTTGTTCATGGGTTAAGGCAGGCGGGTCAGGGGCCAGGAAGGAAGCAGGAGCAAGGGGAGAGGCAGGAGGGCTGGAGGAAGACAGAGAGACAGAGAGAAGGGGGAGGGGGCTGGAAAGAGAGGGGAAAGGACAGGGGAGAGAAGCTGGAGGGGGCCAGAAGGAGATGGGGAAAGGGAGGGGGAGGGAGGCTGGAGGGAGTTGGGAAGGAGGAAGGAGAAGGGGGCTGCAGGAGATGATGGGGGAGGGAGATGAGTAGGGGGAGAAAGGGATAAGGAGCAGGTGAGGAGGAAGGGAGAGGCTGGCCTGGAGTTCTTGGGGACAGGGTACCCACCTGAGTGGATGTGAGCGTGCAGTTTGAGGTAATGCTCCCGCCGGAAGAACTTCTTGCACACCTGGCACTTGAACCTGCCCCCGCTGCCGTGGGTGGGCAGATGACGGCGCAGGTAGCGTTCACAAGGAAACACCTGGCAGAGAAGAGGGGCCTTCAGGTCTGACTCACCAGGCCCCCCTCCCCTGTCTGAGATCAAGCAGTCCCTCCTCTCCAGCCCCTACAGAAACACCTTCCTTTCTGGCTACCAGGGGCCAGGACTCAGAATGTCAGCCTCAGCCCTTAGAACCTCACGGCTCCCCTGACTTACCCACAAGCCCAGCCGAAACATGGCTGCCCCGAGCTTTTGCCTGGATGTTCTTCCCACCCAGAGAGCCTTTCTCTCTTTTCTCACAAACTTGTACACATCCTTCAAGACCCAACTGGGGTATCACTGCTTGTCAAACCTTTCCTAGCTCCATGCCTGGTACCATGCCTGGCAAAGCCAATTCTGCCTTCGAATGTCCACCCACACTTTTAAGTCAGCATTTAACCTACTGAATGACACCCCTTTGCTTACACAGGAGCTCCAAGCAGGCAGAGACGGGTTTTAATTTCCCAGCACAAAGCCGGGGTCAAATGACTGACAAGTAAAAGAATGAATGGAAAATGAACAAATTACTAATGAATGGAAAGGTACTTTTATTTGTTTGTTTATTCATTGAGATGGAGTTTTGCTCTTGTTGCCCAGGCTGGAGTGCAATGGTGCAATCTCAGCTCACCAAAACCTCCACCTCCCGGGTTCAAGAGATTCTCCTGCCTCAGCCTCCAGAGTAGCTCGGATTACAGGCATGCGCCACCATGCCCAGCTAATTTTGTATTTTTAGTAGACACGAGTTTCTCCGTTTTGCTCAGGCTCGTCTCAAACTCCCAGTCTCAGGTGATTACAGGCGCCCACCACCACGCCTGGCTAATTCTTGTATGAAAGGTAATTTTTTTTAAAGCCAGAAAACAAAGAAGTGAACATCTCTTTCCAATCCAGGCATAGGAAGGGCGCGCATTCATGCATTCATTCCTGTGTTCATTTTGGTAGAGCAAGAGTCAGGGGCACAGACCCAGCTGGCCCACTGCTTATTAACCCCATCATTTCCTAGCTAGGTGACCTTTCTGCCTTGGTTTCCCCACTGGTAAAGGGGGATAGTAATCTCGTCAATTTCGGTTACATGCTCAGAACAGCATCTGGCACGTGGTTCTTGCTCAATTCATAGTATCTTTTGCTTGGACCACCACTTCTAAAGCTTAGAATTAGGCTAGAGAATTGAAAACATCTAGAATGAGGCCAAAGCGAAACCAGGGCTGTCCTGGAAAATCTGCCATGTATGGTTAAGAAAATGAGGAGAGTGAAGAAGCAGGTTAAACACACCGGGGAGACATAATCAGCAAAATCCAGACTGCGGGGAACACCACTGGACCAAATGGCACAGTTTCTTCAGCAAAGACATTCAGAGGAAAGAAAAAAGGGAGCAGTTGTTGGGCAAGGGATGGGGGGAACCTGTAGATCAATACAGACTTTCGTTGAATCAATTAATTGCAATTGCAATCTCATTCAAATAAACTTTACAAAACGATGAAGCATTGAGGCAACTGGAAATTGGACACTTCCTGGATGTTTGATGTTATTAGGAATAGGCTTGGTGAGGCTTCCAGAGTCACTGAAAAGAAGAACCAAGGCTGGGCACGGCGGCTTGCATCTGTCATCCCAGCATTCTGGGAGGCTGAGGTGGGAGGATCACTTGTGGCTAAGAGTTTGAGACCAACCTGGGTAACACAGTGAACCCCATCTCTACAAAAAAAATTTAGGCTGGGTGCAGTGGCTCATGCCTGTAATCGCAGCACTTTGGAAGCTCAAGGTGGATGGGTCCCTTACCTCCGTCCCCATCTTGTAGGTCCCCATCTCTACAAAAAATACAAAAATTAGCTGGGCATGGTGGCACACACCTATAGGCCCAGCTACTCAGGAGGCTGAGCCCAGGAGGTTGAGGCTGCGGTGAGCCATGGTCAAACCACTGCGTTCTAGCCTGGTGATAGAGTAAGACCCTGTCTCAAAAAAAAAAAAAAAAAAAAAAAAAATTTAAAAAGAAGAACCAATTGTAATAAGGATAATCATACATCAGGAAGCTAGAAGGCTGCTGCTCAGACACTAGGCCTGAGCCCAGGACAGCCTGGCCCAGCCCGGCTCTAGCAGCAGCCCCCACATGGCCACATCTGGAGTGTGATGAATGAGATGGCCAAGAGGAGATACTGTGTCATCTGTGGAGCAGCCCCTGAGCCCTGCCTGCATGTCCTATGGTGAGAGAAGAAAAGGAAAGGGTGAGGTGGGCATCCCACCACCTTGCCCGTATTATGGCCTGAGGCCCCGGAAAAGAAGGCAATGGCACCCACCTTCTGGCAGTGTGGGCAGGGGAAGTTGTGAGTGGTGGTCTGCAGGTGGTGCTCCAGGGCCTCAGGGGTAGAGTATTTGTTGACACATTTGACACACCTAAGTGGAAGGAGCAGGAACGGTGAGGGAGGAAACATAGCAGGTACAGGAAGCAGCCCCCCACCCACCACCCCAGGGCCAACAACCCACAGTTAATTCGTTTCAAATCCATCACTCTTCTGGATTGCCACTGCCTGTCTTCATCTGAGTGCCATCGACTCTTGCTGGACTTGTACAGTAGCCTCCTCACTGGCCACCCTGCCCTACCCTGCCTCCTGTAGTCCATTCTCCAAAGTGCTGCCAGGGGCACCTTTAAAAATGAAACTCAGGCCGAGCATGGTGGCTCACACCTGCAATCCCAATGCTTTGGGAGGCCAAGGCAGGCAGATCACGAGCTCAGGAGTTCAAGATCATCCTGGCCAACATGGTGAAACCCCATCTCTACTAAAAATACAAAAATCAGCTGGGCGTGGTGATGCATGCCTGTAGTCCCAGCTACTTGAGAGGCTGAGGCAGGAGAATTGCTTGAACCTGGGAGATGCAGTTTGTAGTGAGCGGAGATCACGCTACTGCACTCCAGCTTGGGTGACAGAGTGAGACTCTGTCTCAAAAAAAAAAAAAAAAGAGAAAGAGAGAGAGAGATCGTTAGAGTCTAATAGAGTTGGTACCTGTGTGCCCAACCAAACCTCACTGAACTATAGTCCCCAGTCTGGAGGCGAGGTCTGGTGGGAGGTGACTGGATCATGGGGGTCGATTTCTCATGAATGGTTTAAGACTATCCCCTTGGTGCAGTCCTCAGGACAGCGAGTTCTCCTGAGATCTAGCTGTTTAAAAGTGCATGGTGCCTCCTTCTCCCTCTCTCTGGCTCCTGCTCTGGCCATGTGACATGTCTACTCCCCCTTCCCCTCCTACCATGAGTAAAAGCCTCCTGAGGCCTCCCCAGAGGCAGATCCGCTAGCTCAGGCACTATGCTTCCTGTACAGCCTGCTGAACCCTGAGTCAAATAAATCTCTTTTCTTGTAAATTACCCAGTCTCAGGTATTTCTTTATAGCAGTGCAAGAACGACCTAACACAGAGTCAAAGAACACAACTGTGCCAAATAGCTCATAAACATGTCCTCACAACAGCAGTCTCAGGCCACAAACCACTCTGAAACAAGAAGACACCACCTTCTCCCCATCATGAAAACATGTGCTAGCTAAGGAAGAAAAGGTATTATCAGACAAAAAGAAAAGAAAGCATTTGCTGGCAAATTGACCTATTTGCAATGAGTCATCAGTGAGGAACGTCACAGGTAGGTGAACAATTCACACCAAAAACAGAAAGGCAGGCGTGTGCTTCCTACACTAGTGCTGCTTGTGGGAAACCCCAGGGTAGCCCCTCAGACTGCACTCTGAAACCACACAGCAGCCAGATGAGGGGGGTCACACCTGTAATCCCAGCACTTTGGGAAGGCAAGGCAGGAGGATCACTTGAGGCCAGGAATTCAAGAGCAGCCTAGGAAACATAGTGAGACCCTGTCTCTAAAAAAAAAAAAAAAAAATTAGCCAGGAGTGGTGTCACATGCCTGTAGTCCTAGCTACTGGGGAGGCTGAGGGAAGGGGACCACACCTGTGAATAGCTGATGTACTCTAGCCTGGACAACACAGAGAGATTCTGTTTCTAAAAAAAAAAGTAAAAATTGGCTAGGTGTGGTGGCTCATGCCTATAATCCCAGCCCTTTGGGAGTCCAAGGCAGGTGGATTACTTGAGCCTAGGAATTCCAGACCAGCCTAGGCAACATAGTGAAACCCCATCTTTATAAAAAATACAAAAATTAGCCAGGCCTGGTGGCATGTCCCTGTGGTCCCAGCTACTTGAGAGGCTGAAGTGGAGGACTGCTTGAGCCAAGGAGGCGAAGGCTGCAGTGAGCCGTGATCACACCACTGTACTCCAGCCTGGGTGACAGAGAGAAACTCTGTCTCAAAACAAAACAAAACAAAAATGCCCTCGTGCAGTGGCTCATGCCTGTAATCCAGGCACTTTGGGAAGCCAATGCAGGAGGATCACTTGAACCCAGGAATTTGAGACCAGCCTGGACAACATGGCAAAATCCCATTTCTACCAAAAAAAAAAAAAAAAAAATTAGGTGGGCATGGTGGTACATGCTTGTAGTCACAGCTACTCAGGAGGCTGAGGTGGGAGAATCACCTGAGCCTGGGGAGGTCAAGGGTCAAGGCTGCAGTGAGCCAAGATCATGTCACTGCACTCTATCCTTAGCGACAGAGTAAGACCCTGTCTCATAAAAAAAATTAATTAATTAAATTAAAATTAAATAAGTAACTGTATGAAACAACGGAAAGCCTTAAAACACATATACTGAAGGCCAGGCATGGTGGTTCATGCCTGTAATCCTAGCATTTTGGGAAGCTGAGGAGAGTGGACTGCTTGAGCCTAGGAGTTCTAGGCTCCCCTGGGCAATATAGCAAAACCTCATCTCTACAAAAAATATAAAATTAGCTGGGAGTGGCGGTGCACACCTGTAGTCCCAGCTACTCAGGAGGCTGAGAGGGACGGATTGTTTGAACCAGGGAGATCAAGGCTGCAGTGATCCGTGATTGTGCCACTGTACTCCAGCCTGGGTGACACAGCAAGATCCCGTCTCAAAAAGAAATCAATCAGTAATAAAATTATTACGAAATGAAAGGTCTAAAAAGAACACTTTTGAACATGATTGCCTGTGATACGGGGAAGTGGGTCACAGTGGATGGAGAATTCCTATTCACTCTATGTTCTATCATAGTTTTAAATATTGCACTGTATACACACAATTATTTTTTGAAGTGGAGAATCTTAAAAAAAAAACAAAATACCCATTTGAACTCTGACCTGCAAAATCACTTCTAGGAACTTATAAAAAAGCAAAGATGTATGCCCAAAGTTTTTCCCTATAGCATTCTTTATACTAATGACAAAATGAAAATAATCTCACTACCCAACAGTGGGAGATGACGTAAGTAAATCACAGTACCTCCATGCACAATGGAATACTAAGCAGCTGTGTAAAGAATGAGGCAGGACTAGGCCGGGCGCAGTGGCTCACGCCTATAATCCCAGCACTTTGGGAGGCCAAGGCAGATGGATCACAAGGTCAAGAGATCGAGACCATGCTGGTCAACGAGGTGAAACCCCATCTCTACTAAAAATACAAAAATTAGCTGGGCATGGTGGTGTACGCCTGTAGTCCCAGCTACTCGGGAAGCTGAGGCAGGAGAATTGCTTGAACCCAGGAGGCGGAGGTTGCGGTGAGCTGAGATCCTGCCATTGCACTCCAGTCTGGGTAACAAGAGCGAAACTCTGTCTCAAAAAAAAAAAAAAAAAAGAATGAGGCAGGACTATTAGTGCTGAAATGCAAAGACATCCATATTACCAGTGTTTTTGTTTTTCCCTGAGATCAGGGTCTCACAAGTGCAGTGGCATGATCACCCAGTTTTGTTTTTTTGTGTAGGTTTTTTAAAAAATTCTTTTCTCTGCATTGAACATTTGCATTGAACGTTGACTTCTGCAATTGGGGGAAAAACTAATAAATCTTTCTTTTTTTTCTTTTTTAAGATGAAGTCTCTCTGTGTCACCCGGGCTACAGTGCAGTGGCACAATGTTGGCTCACTGCACCTCCTGGGTTTGAGTGATTCTCCTACCTCAGCCTCTGGAGTGGCTGAGATTACAGGAGTATGTCACCATGCCCAGCTAATTTTTGGATTTTTTTTTTTTTTTAGTAAAGATGGGGTTTCACCATGTTGGCCAGGCTGCTCTCAAACTCCTAATCTCAAGTAATCCACTCTCCTCAGCCTCCCAAAGTGCTGGGATTATAGGCATGAGCCACTGTGCCCAGCCAGATTTTCTTTTTTAAAAGAAAAAATTAAACATAAAGATATAGATTAAAATTCATTTGACAGGTTTGGGGAAAGTACTCATAAGCAGGCCAAGGCAATGTGGCTCACAGGGAACAGAAACCAGAATGACAGGGCCTGGACCTCTAAAAATATGATGAAGCTACCACACCCACTCAAACGCCACTGTGAGAATCAACTCTCATAGTGTATATAAGCCACTGTTACTTTAGGTCTCTATTGCATGCAGCCAGACCTCTACTACCTACCTCCCAGGACAGTAGGGACTGATGTCACTAATGCAAGCTTGGCACAGAGCAGGTACTTCCTTCCCTTTACTTGGCATCTCACTCCAGAGTCACACAGCCACAGGAACTCACAGATAATCCACAAATTGGAAGGGCAAGAGCAAAAGAAAATTTCCCGAGCACAAATGGGAATAAGACATTACTGCCAGAAATTTCTGCCCCTTGGCTGGCCAAAGCTTTGCTTGGCTTCCCTGCCTCTCTTGCCCCATTTTGCAGAGCCTTGGGGGCAAGTTACCCTACACCCCATTTCTTGAGTTCTAGTTCCTCTGCCAACTTCTCAAAGCTCTTATGATTTCTACATGGCCCTTCATGTCTTGGCCTTACTTTTTCCCACAGACCCATCTAAACATCTCCCTCCTGTTTCCACTCTACACAACAGTCATTCTATTTTTTTTGAGACGGAGTTTCACTCTTGTTTCTTAAGCTGGAGTGCAATCTTGGCTCACTGTAACCTCTACCTTCTGGGTTCAAGTGATTCTCCTGCTTCAGTCTCTCGAGTAGCTGGGATTACAGAAGCACACCACCATACCTGGCTAATTTTTGTATTTTCAGTAGAAACGGTGTTTCACAATGTTAGCCAGGTGGATCACTCCTGACCTCAGGTGATCCACCCACCTTGGCCTCCCAAAGTGTTGGGATTACAGGCATGAGCCACTGCATCCAGCCTCCAGTCATTCTTTTTTTTTTGGAATGGAGTTTCGCTCTTGTTGCCCAGGCTGGAGTGCAATGGTGAAATCTCGGCTCACTGCAACCTCTGCCTCCCGGATTCAAGTGATTCTCCTGACTCAGCCTACCAAAGTGCCTGGATTACAGGCGTGAGCCACCATGCGCAGCTTCCAGTCATTCTATTAATAAACCACTTGCTATTTTTTTTAAACTTGATCAGTTCCTCCTGCTAGAAATCTACTCCACCCCATCCATTGTCTACCTGGCAAACTCCTATTAACCCTCCAAAATCCAGTTCAGATGTCATTGCTCCTGGGACAACTTCTCTTAACCTGTCTCCCGCTGTGGTACTTCTATACCTTATGAACATATGTGATAGCATTTTATCAAGTGACAGGGTGCATTTGTTTACGCACCTGTATCCTTGAGCAGCCCATGCATTTTAAGCTTAAGGGTTTTTACTTATCTCTGAACCCTAGAAGCTCACCCAGGAGTTACAAGGGCCTCATTAACAGATACACCAAATCTCTGCAGGTATGAGTCTGTACAGAGAAGCAAAAACCATTCTAACAGGAAAATATTTGCTAATGAACTGGAAGAAGGCTTCAGACAAACACCACTCCTGGCCTTTCACTACTATCTACCCGCAAGGGCTTTGTGAGAAAGCTGCTCGCAGATGACGCAGGCAAATGCACAGCAAGATGACTGCAGATGGGGGATTTCACAACACCATTTAAGTGATGCTGCACATCTGCAGATAACACCACCCATGAAGGAGGACCTGGCAGATGGACCGGAAAATAACTGAGGCAGAGAAATTCAACAAGGATGATCAGAAGTCAATAGCTCCAAAGAGAATAACATGAAGATCTTTTTTTTTTTTTTTTTTTTGGATACAGGGGTCTCTGTCGCCCAGGTTGAGTGCAGTGGCGTGATCACCGCTCACAGCAGCCTTAACCTCCTGGGCTCAAGCAATCCTTCCACCTCAGCCTCCTAAGTAGCTGGGACTAGAGTTGCGTGCCACCACGCCAGCTAATTTTTCGATTTTTGTTGAGACAAGGTCTTGCTATGTCGCCCAGGCTGGTCTCAAACTCCTGGGCTCAGCCATCTTCCCATCTCAGCCTCCCAAATGCTAGGATTACAGGTGTGAGCCACTGTGCCCAGCCTCAAGGTGAGATCTAAGGATAAAAAGCATGTGGCAAAACTGAGGGAGCCTTCATCATTTCTGTCAAAGGGACCCTCTTCATGACCACAACGGAAGACTGAAGTGATATAAATGATTATCAGAAGAAATGACCTTAAATAAACTCCATACTTTGGCTGGGCATGGTGGCTCACATCTGCAATCCTAGCACTTTGGGAGGCTGAGGTGGGTGGATCACCTGAAGTCAGGAGTTGGAGACCAGCCTGATCAACATGGTGAAACCCTGTATCTATTAAAAATACAAAAATTAGCTGGATGTGGTGGCGCACACCTGTAGTCCCAGCTACTCAGGAGGCTGAGGCAGGAGAATTGCTCGAACTTGGGAGGCGGAGTTGCAGTGAGTGGAGATCACACCAATGCACTCCAGCCTGGGGAACAGAGCAAGACTCCATCTAAAAAAAAAAAAATCCATACTTGATCCACTCCTTGTTCATTCTAAGAATTAGCATATAAGCTGGGCATGGTGGCTCATGCCTGTAATCCTAGCATTTTGGGAGGCCAGGGTGGGAGGATCACTTGAGCCCAGGAGTTCAAGACCATCCTGAGCAACATAGCAAAACCCTGTCGCTACAAAAAATACAAAATTGGCTGGGCACGGTGGCTCAAGCCTGTAATCCCAGCACTTTGGGAGGCCGAGGCAGGTGGATCACGAGGTCAACAGATTGAGACCATCCTGGTCAACAAGGTGAAACCCCGTCTCTACTAAAAATACAAAAAAAATAAGCTGGGCATGGTGGCTGATGCCTGTAATCCCAGCTACTCAGGAGGCTGAGGCAGGAGAATTGCCTGAACCCAGGAGGCGGAGGTTGCAGTGAGCCGAGATCACGCCATTGCACTCCAGCCTGGGTAACAAGAGCGAAACTCCATCTCAAAAAAAAAAAATTAGCTGGGCATAGTGGCACATGCCTGTTAGTCCCAGCTACTCAGGAGGCTGAGATGGGAAGATCACCTGAACCTGGGGAAGCTGCAGTGAGCCGTGATGGTGCCACTGGACTGCAACCTGGGCAACAGGGCAAAACACTATCTCAAAAAAATAAATAAAATAAAAATAAGAATCAGCATATAGCTTCAACTTTAATCTAGTTTTATAGATTATAAAACAAATATATATTATGTTTATGATTTTTGCTTTTAAACATGTTACTGTTCATTTTAAAATCTATTTTATTTTGTAGCGATGGGGTCTCGTTATGTTGCCAAGCTGGTCTCAAACTCCTGGCCTCCTCCTGCCTTGGCCTCCTAAAGTGCTGGGGTTACAGATGTGGGCCACCACACCCTGCCCATTCTTTCTTCATTGTGAGAACTGGTGTACTGCTTTGACTGTAACCTAAATTTTGTAGATTGAGTCAAAATAATACTGTCATAATTGATTAGTTTGGAATAAAATGCTCAAATCTTTTTTCACTGTGAACAATGAAATATTGGTTCCTCTTTTTAAGGATTTTTTTTTTTAGGAAAAATGTCTGCCAAGACATAAGAATGATATAAGGAGAGCCAGCATCCTTTCTTCCACCAGTACCAAAGCCCAGAACCCAGTCTACCAGGTTGCACCCCAGCCAGGAGCCTCAGTTTCTCCTTTTAAGTATCTCACTGGTCCTGAGCAGTCAGAACCACCAAGGCCACAGGTCCCTGCCCACCCACCCGTTCACCCAGGGAGAGGGAAGTGGGAGGGCACATACTTGTAGACGGCGCTGTCCTTCTTGGGGCTATGCTGCGGCAGGAGGCTGTGGGAGTACTGGTGCACGCCCAGGTCGTACAGTGAGGGAAAGTCCTTGCTGCAGAGGTGGCAGCGGTAGCTCAGCTCCTCCTGGTGGCTCTTGATGTGCTCCAGAAATGTGTCGAGTTTTGGGAATGTCTGGGCGCAGCTTTTGACCACACATTTGTACACCTTGAGGGAAAACACTGGGCAGGTAATGGGAAGCAGGAGAGCTTTTTCCACTGTAGCCCCTGGCCTGTGGCACTGGCCTGGGACACTCCTCTGCTCCCCTGCTGCTGCTGAAGCCCTGTTATTTATTTATTTATTTATTTATTTATTTATTTATTCTTCCCACCACCACCACTGAACGGAGTGTCATGCTGTCGCCAGGCTAGGGTGCAGTGGTACAATCTCAGCTCACTGCAACCTTCGCCTCCCCGGTTCAAGCAATTCTCCTGTCTCAGCCTCCTGAGTAGCTGGGACTACAGGCACCCGCCACCAAGCCCAGCTAATTTTTGTATTTTTAGTAGAGATGGGGTTTCACCATGTTGGCCAGGACGGTCTCAATCTCTTGACCTAGTGATCCGCCCGCCTCAGCCTCCCAAAGTGCTGGGATTACAGGCGTGAGCCACCATGCCCAGCCTATTTATTTATTTTTGAGACAGAGTCTCACTGTGTCTCCCAGGCTGGAGTGTAGTAGCACAATCTCAGCTCACTGCAACCTCCACTTCCCAGGTTCAAGTGATTCTCCTCCCTCAGCCTCCCAAGTAGCTGGGATTATAGGTGTGCACCACCATGCCCAGCTAATTTTTGTATTTTTAGTAGAGACGGAGTTTCGCCATGTTGGCCAAGCTGACCTCAAGTGATGTACCCATGTTGGCCTCCCAAAGTGGTGGCATTAGAGGCATGGGCTGCTGTGCCCAGCCCTTGGTTTCTTTTGATTAGACGGTTCCCTCCTCTCAGCCAGTCACGATGGCCCTAATCCCCTTCCCTCAGGCTCTATGTGGAATGGGTATATTTAGAAAAATTGCTCAAGACCTGGAAATACAGTGAAAAGATGATAGAGTACCCTTTCAATGTCATAATGAAATAGCAGCTCTCAAACTAGAGCAGGCCTCAGAATCACAGGTTTCTGGGGACCGCCCCCAGAGAATCTGACTCAGCAGGTCTGAATATGTGTACCCCTAATGAGGAATCCTCAGGGAATGCTGCTGCTGCTGGCATGGAACCTCACTTTGAGAACTACTATCTAACGAGCCCACCTACAGCCCGCCCACCGTCATCCCACTCTAGGGGAGGTGGCTACTTCTGACTGTTTCCCACTGATTAGGACTCTACAGTTAAATTTAACTTGTAAAAAACTGATCCAGTGTAACTGGATCAGTTGTCCAGAGAAGACAACCCCAAGGGTCATAGGTTTTGTTGTCTTGTAAGACATTAACCAGATTTCTATGTAATCTAGCAATCTGACTTCAGTATCTCTTTTTTCATTGACCAGTTATTAGGCATAGCTATCTGTGTCTCATGGCCTCTGCTGAACAGGCTTTGTCTCCCTTCAGGTTCCCTCATTAATGAGTTAAGCAAAATTTTGATTCACGTTCAGGTCTCATTTGTATGAGAAGTATGTTTTTAACGTCTTGAAAATTATACTTTGATAGCATAAGTCCTGGCTGCCTACACAATATCATGCACTCCTTCTACCTAACAAAGTGAACCCTGATTTGCTCAGAATAGTAACATACCTAGTTAAAATACATGGTCCTGGCCAGGCGTGGTAGCTCATGCCTGTCATCCTAACACTTTGGGAGGCCAAGGCAGGCAGATCAATTGAGCCCATGAGTTTGAGACCAGCCTGGCTGACAGTGAAACCCCACGTCTACTAAAAATACAAAAATCAGCCAGGTGTAGTGGCACACACCTATAAGCCCAGGTACTCGGAGGCTAAGGCAGGAGAATCCCTTGAACCCAGGAGGCGGAGGTTACAGTGAGCTAAGATCACACCACTGAACTCCAGCCTGGGCAACAGAATGAGACTCTGTCTAAAAAAAAAAAAACCAGGCCGGGCGCAGTGGCTCAAGCCTGTAATCCCAGCACTTTGGGAGGCCGAGGCGGGTGGATCGCGAGGTCAGGAGATCGAGACCATCCTGGTCAACATGGTGAAACCCCGTCTCTACTAAAGATACAAAAAATTAGCTGGGCACGGTGGCGCGTGCCTGTAATCCCAGCTACTCGGGAGGCTGAGGCAGGAGAATTGCCTGAACCCAGGAGGCGGAGGTTGCGGTGAGCCGAGATCGCGCCATTGCACTCCAGCCTGGGAAACAAGAGTGAAACTCTGTCTCAAAAAAAAAAAAACCAAAAACACAGACTGGGCGTGGTGGCTTACGTCTGTAATCCTAGCACTCTGGGAGGCTGAGGCGGTGGAACACTTGAGGTCAGGAGTTCCAGACCAGTCTGGCCAACATGGTGAAACCCTGTCTCTATGAAAAATACAAAAATTAGCCAGGTGTGGTGGGGGGCTGCCTATAATCGTGGCTACTTGGGAGGCTGAGGCAGGAGAATCACTTGAACCCAGGAGGCAGAGGTTGCAGTGAGCTGAGATCGTGCCATTGCACTCCAGCCTGGACAACAAGAGCAAAACTGCATCTCAGGAAAAAACAAGAAGAAGAAAAAAAAACAACAATACTTGATCCTGGTTCTTTTGCATCTATTGTCAGCCATGTGACTCCCTTCCAGCCAATGATATACAGGGACAACATCACTTCCGGAACACAAAGGCAAAAGCTTCCCAGGAGAAATCCCCTCTGCTTTGTGCGTTTGCTTGACTGGAATACGGATGGAGACATAGCAGCCATCGTGCAACCTTGGGATGAACCCCATAAGCTAAGAATGGCAGATCAGAAAGCTAGAAGCCTGAGTCTATGGGGACACATCTGACCTGCTCTATATAAGCCCAACACTGCCTACTTAGGGATTTCTTCTGATGTGAGAGAAATAAGCCCCATGAAGCCAGTTTTCTATAATTTGTACATAATAATGCATTCTCAAATGATAGAGCACATGTACTGGCTTTGACTAAGGAGAGATCTACAAAGTGCTTCTGAGAAGTGTCCTTGCTCCTAAAAATGATACAGAAGAGGATAACAGTGGGTCTGGATTGCTACCTAGAGAGAGTGACCACCAGCCAGATCGCAGTGGCTCACACCTATAATCCCAGCACGGTCAGGAGCTTGAGACTAGACTGGCCAACACAGTAAAACCCTATCTTTACTAAAAATACAAAAATTAGCCAGGCATGGTGGTGCATGCCTGTAATCTCAGCTACTTGAAAGGCTGAAGCACAAGAATCACTTGAACCTGGGAGGCAGAGGTTACAGTGAGCCAAGATCATGCCACTGCATGCCAGCCTGGGCAGAAGAGTAAAACTGTCTCCAAAAAAAAAAAAGAGTGGCCACCATCCCAGGACAGAAGCACAAGATGAGCCATCAGGAGAGGACAAGGCCACACCCTGAGATGGCAGAGACCAGAGCTGGAAAGGCACAGGGTCCTTTCACTGGCTGGAGTCAGCTGTCTCAGGACTGGAGTTGAGTCAAAGTTTTCTGTGATTTGTCCCAAGGGTAACTTTACTCAACTCCATCAGCCCCCACTAGGAATCTAACCTGGGGCGAACAGAGCCGTGGAAGGTATGACTCGTTGACTCCTACCCCTTCCTGCCTAGGCAGCGTTCCCCAGCAGCAGTGAAAGGCCGTGACTAGTGTGGTGTGGCCCCCTCTGCCACCACCCGCCTACCTGCTCGTTTTTATGCTGGGTCATGTGAGACTTGAGCTGAAAGTAGGTGCTGAACTTGCTGGGGCAGAACTGGCACAGGTAGGAGCTGTCGATGAGGACCACCTGCTTGGGCTCCAGCTTGTCTCCCTCATCCTCACCGGTGGCGGGCAAGGCCTGGGGCTGTGGTGCACTCGGCAGGGGCTGGCCCAACCCTATGAAGAAAGCTGGGGAAGTCAGGACAAGGAGCCAGGCTATTCAGGAAAGACACACAGAACCCCTACTCCATGCTCCTCTGTGTTCACCTGGTACCTGCTCCCCACTTTGTGTCAGACTCTGTGCTAAAGTGTCACACTCAGCTAGTGTGCACTGATACAGTCATCCCCCAGGTTCAAATACGAAAATACTTCCTTTCCTAGTGAGAAACAGCTACTGCCTCAAGCCTCCCTGCTCTTGACTTTCCCCTCAGACACTGCAGGCCTCTCCATGGTTGTTAAAAATTCTGAACACCATCCTAGCTGTACTCATAATGCCTCCCCAGTCCCTTCTTATTGTAATCATCGGGCTGGGTACAGCGGCTCACACCTGTAATACCAGCACTTCGGGAGGCTAAGGCGGTTGGATCACTTGAGGTCAGAAGTTTAAGATCAGCCTACCCAACATGGTGAAACCCCATCTCTACTAACAATACAAAAATTAGCCGAATGTGGTGGAGGGCGCCTGTAATCCCAGCTACTCAGGAGTCTGAGGCAGTAGAATCGCTTGAACCCAGGAGGCAGAGGTTAAAGTGAGCAGAGATTGTACCACTGCACTCCAGCCTGGGTGACAGAGCAAGACTGTCTCGAAAAATAATAAGAAAAATTATAATCATCAGCCAGGCACGGTGGCTCACATCTGTAATCCCAGCACTCTGGGAGCCCAAGGCAGGCAGATCACCCGAGGTCAGGAGTTCAAGACTAGTCTGGCCAACATAATGAGACCTCATCTCTACAAAAAATAAACAAAATTAGCTGGGCATGGTTGCATGTGCCTGTGATCCCACCTACCCAGGAAGCTGAGGTGGGAAGATCACTTGAGCCCGGGTAATTGAGGTTGCAGGGAGCACCATCGTGCCATTGCACTCCAGCCTGGGTGATAGAGCAAGATCTTGTCTCAAAAAAAAAATTTTTTTTTAAGAAAAAAAGGAGTTCACAAGAGGGCACACAGTAGGACTACTTCCAACAGGAAGCCTGAAGGAAGTTCAGATTAAAGTGGCCACAAGTTGCTTGCCCAGCAAAACACTCCCTTCATTACCTAGCACATGGCTGGCATTGCTCACCCTTGGGGCTACATGGAGACTCTGGCCTTACACTGTCTAATACAGTGGTCCTGAGTCACAAGTGGCTACTGAGAACTTGAAATGTGGTACCAGGCATGGTGGCCCACACCTATAATCCCGGCACTTTGAAAGGCTGAGGTGAGAGGATCACTTGAGCCCAGGAGTTGAGACCAGCCTGGGCAACAAAGCAAGACTCTATGTCTACAAAAAAAAAAATGTTTAACAATTAGCCAGGCATAGTAGTGCACCCCCGTCCCAGCTACTTAGGAGGCTGAGGCAGGAGGATCACTTGAGTCCGAAAAAAAAAACTAGAAAAAAAAAAAGAAAGAAAGAAATATGTCTAACCCATACCCAGATGTGTGATAAATATATATACCTACTTGTATACATATTATATACAAAATTTAGTAAAAAAGAGAATATGAAGTATATCTAATCTTTATATTACATGTTAAAATAATAATAATGTTAATATATTGGGTTAGATACCAGGAGATGGAGGTTGCATTGAGCCAAGATAGTGCCACTGCACTCCAGCGTGGGCGACAGAGTGAGGAGTGAGACTCTATCACAAACACACACACACACAACACACACGCATATATATAAAATATATATACCTGGTTAAATAAGATATATAATTAAAATTAATCTTTTTAAAAATTGTTTTTAATGTAGCTACTAGAAATTTTTATTTCATTTTTTTGTATCTAGGAAGTAACTAACTTGCTTTTGACATTTCATTTATTTATTTAAGATTATTTTTGCCACTAAAGACAGAACTTATAATTTTTTTTTTTTAATAGAGATAGGGTTTTAACCAGGCTGATGTTTTTCTTTTCTTTTTTTTTTTTTGGAGACAGAGTCTCACTTTATCCCTCAGGCTGGAGGGCAGTGGTGCAATCTCGGCCCACTGCAATCTCTACCTCCCAGGTTCAAGTGATTCCCCTGCCTCAGCCTCCTGAGTAGCTGGGATTACAGGCGCACACCACCACACCCAGCTAATTTTTGTACTTTTAGTAGAGATGGGGTTTCACCATGTTGGCCAGGATGGTCTCAATCTCTTGACCTCGTGATCTGCCTGCCTCAGCCTCCCAAAGTACTGGGATTACAGGCGTGAGCCATCATGCCTGGCTGAACATTTTAAATTACATATGTTGTTCATATATTTCCATTGGGCAGTACTGCTCTAAACCTAGTAAGTTCTCAGTCTTCATGTAAAAAAGAAACTAAACTATTATCAGGGGTAGGATTGTTAGCTCAGGGACAAATGATAAGAATCCCACATGTATAAAGAGCTTTGGAGAACAACTGCCCACCGAGGTTGAATACCTTTCAACTTCTCATCAACTACAGTGACTGCTTGGAGCAACGTATAGAAAACAGCTTCTGAGAGGGGATGGTGAGGGAGGGCAAGGGTTGAAAAACTACCTGTTGGCTGGGTGTGTTGGCTTACATCTGTAATCCCAGCAATTTGGGAGGCCAAGATAGACAGATCATTTGAGGTCAGGGATTCGAGAGCAGCCTGGCCAACATGGTGAAACCATGTCTCTACTAAAAATACAAAAATTAGCCAGGCATGGTGGTGGCTACTCAGGAGGCTGATGCAGAAGGACCACGTGAATCTGGAAGACAGAGGTTACAGTGAGCTAAGATAGCAACACTGTACTCCAGCCTGGGTGACAGAGTGAGACTCTGTCTCAAAAAACAAAAAACAAAAAAAAGAAAGAAAAACTACTTATTGGTACAACGTCTAGTATTTGGGTGACAGGTACACTAGAAGCCCAGCCCCTACCATTATGCATGTAATACCCATGTAATAAACAAGCACATGTACCCCCAAAATCTAAAATTTTTAAAATAAACGTAACTAAACATGGAAAAGGTAATACAGTGTGCTACGATTTTACAATGGCAACAATGTCACTAGATGACAGAAATTTTCCAGCTCCATTACAACTTTATGGGACCACTGTCACATATGCCATCTGTCACTCATGGAAACATCCTTACACAGCACATGATCATATAATTATGGTGGCTGTTAAATATTTTCTAATTTAACCATTATTTCTACTTTTATCAGTACACATTTTACCGTTAAGAAAGGACTTCCTTTAAATGTGGCACATATAATATACATCATGGAATATTATGCAGCTATAAAGAAGAATGAATTCATGTCCTTTGTGAGGACATGGATGAAGCTGGAAGCCATCATTCTCAGCAAACTAATACAGGAATAGAAAACCAAACACCAGGGCCGGGCGCAGTGGCTCACGCCTGTAATCCCAGCACTTTGGGAGGCCGAAGCGGGTGGATCACGAGGTCAAGAGATCAAGACCATCCTGCTCAACATGATGAAACCCCATCTCTACTAAAAATACAAAAAATTAGCTGGGCATGGTGGCGCGTGCCTGTAAATCCCAGCTACTCAGGAGGCTGAGGCAGGAGAATTGCCTGAACCCAGGAGGCAGAGGTTGCGGCGAGCCCAGATCGCGCCATTGCACTCCAGGCTGGGTAACGAGAGCAAAACTCCGTCTCAAAAAAAAAAAAAAAGAAAACCAAACACCAAATGTTCTCACTCATAGGTGGGAGTTGAACAATGAGAACACAAGGACGCAGGGAGGGCAACATCACACACTGGGGCCTATTGGGGGGTGGGGGACAAGGACAAATTCTAATGCATGCAGGGCCTAAAACCTAGATGACAGGTTGATAGATGCAGCAAACCCCATGGCACAGGTATACCTATGTAACAAACCTGTACATTCTGGACATGTATCCCCGAACTTAAAGTAAAATTTTTTTAAAAAGAAAGGGCTGTCTTTCATCCCCTATTTATTCATTCATTTATTTTAACAGTATAGGCTTATAAATTTTTATGTTATACTAGTTTTCCCTTATCTGCAGTTTTGCTTTCCATGATTTTAATTACCCAGAGTCAACCATGATCTGAAAATATTAAATGGAAAATTCCAGAAATAAACAATTCTTAAGTTAAAAAAAATGAAAAGATTCTGAGGTGAGACCAAGCTCAGCCAAAAAAGAGTAGGTGATTGAATAGTGATGTCTGCCATGGGTATAGTATTAGAGTAATGCCACACACGTTGCATGTTTGGTCATGGGGGTTGCCCAAGGTCACACAGCTAGCAACTCCACCTGTGAAGCAGCAGAAGAGAGGTGTGGGGAGCATGGCATTCCCTACTTCCACCCACCTGTGTTTTCCTCGTCCTCCTGCCTGCTGGGGTTCAGGGCCATGACCTGTACAGTCACACAGTTTCGAGACACGGTGCCACCACTGTGTCCTGGAGGCCACACCTTGTGGGTCTGCATGTGTTTCTTAACATTAGACTTCTGGGCAAAGGCACGGCCACATGCAATACACTGGAAGGGCTTCTCGCCGGTGTGGCTGTGGAAGACAAGGCTTGTCAGTGCCCTCCTGCAGGAACGAGGACAAGGCCTCAGCCCAGGAGCTCACAGCCACCAGGAAGGCCCAGGAAGAACATCCAGATGCCGCTGGCCACCCTCTGACACCATGGAGACAAGCCCTCTTGCTGAGGCAGGCAGACCAGAGATGGAAAGACCCTGGGTTCTGGGTCATGTTATTGAGCTGCTCATGAACAAACCCTGGAGCCATCCTCCTCTGGCCATCCCATACTGTGAGATAACATTTCCTAATTGTCCAAGCCCATTTAAATGAGGACTTCTGGCCTGGCACAGTAGTTTATGTCTGTAATCCCAGCACTTTAGGAGGCCGAGGCAGGTGGATCACTTGAGGTCAGGAATTTGAAACCAGCCTGACCAATATGGTCAAACCCCATCTCTACTAAAAATACAAAACTTAGCTGGACCTGGTGGTGCGCACTGTAATCCCAGTTACTCAGGAGGCTGAGGTAGGAGAATCGCTTGAACCTGGGAGGTGGAGGTTGCAGTGAGCCGAGATCACACGACTACACTCCAGCCTGGGCAACAGAGCGAGACTCCATCTCAGAAACGAATAAACAAATGGGGACTTCTGTCATTTGAAGGAGAAAACATTCTAGTTGTCACAGCACAGCACTTGTACCACAGTTTAACATTTTTCTTCAAATCAACTCACTTTTTTAAAACTTAAAATAATTTTTTTTTTGAGACAGAGCCTGGCTATGTCATCAGAGTGGAGTGCAGTGGCGCAATCTCGGCTCACTACAACCTCTGCTTCCAGGTTCAAGCGATTCTCCTGCTTCAGACTCCCAAGTATCTGGGACTCACAGGGGTGTGCCACCATGCCCAGCTAATTTTTGTATTTTTAGTAGAGACGGGGTTTCACCATGTTGATCACGATGGTCTCGATCTCTTGACCTCGTGATCCACCCACCTCGGCCTCCCAAAGTGCTGGGATTATAGGCTTGAGCCACCACGCCCGGCCTTGTCTCTAAAATTAAATAAATGAAAACAAAATAATCTTTTTTAAAAAAACTTCATTTTGTTATTCTGTATGGAAAACCACTTGTCATAAAGCAACTAAAAAAAAATGCAAGATCCAGAGCTACACTGTCCAATAATGTAGACAGTGCCATATGGGGCTACTTAAATAATATACACTGTCCAATAAGGTAGACATAAGCCATATGGGGCTACTTAAATTTAAATTCAAACCCGGCATGGTGACTCATGCCTGTAATCCCAACACTTTGGGAAGCCAAGATGGGAGAATCACTTGAGCTCAGGAGTTCAAGACCAGCCTGAGCAACATGATGAAACCCTGTTTCTACAAAAAATACAAAAATTAGCTAGGTGTGGTGGTGTGAGCCTGTGGTCTCAGCAGTTTGGGAGTATGAGATGGGAGGACTGCTTGAGCCTGGGAGATTGAGGCTGCAGTGAGCCAAGATCACACCACTGCACTCCAGCCTAGGCAACAGAGCAAGACCCTGTCTAAAAATAAATAAATAAAAATTCATTAAAATAAAATACAAAATTCAATTTCTCAATCTCACTAGCCATATTCCAAGTGCTCAACAGCCATGTATAGTCAGTAGTTACCATATTGGAGAGTGCCAATTTGAGCATTTCTTTTTTTTTTTTTTTTTTTGAGACAGAGTCTCACTCTGTCACCCAGGCTGGAGTGCAGTGGCATGATCTCAGCTCACTGTAACCTCTGCCTCCTGGGTTCAAGGGTTTCTCCTGTCTCAGTCTCCCAAGTAGCTGGAACTACAGGTATCCACCACCATGCCTGGCTAATTTTTGTGTTTTTAGTAGAGATGGGGTTTCACCATGTTAGCCAGGCTACTCTCGAAACCCTGACCTCAAGTGATCCGCCCACCTCAACCTCCTAAAGTGCTGGGATTACAGGCATAAACCACCATGTCCGGCCCAATTTGAGCATTTCTATCATTACAGAAAGTTCTATTGGACAGCACTAGTATAGACCAGTTCTCAACTGAGGTCAGTTTTGCCCTCCGGGAGACACTGGCATTTTTTATTGTCACAGCTGTAGGCTGTGGTACTCCTAGCATCTAACGGTTAGAGGCCAGGGATGCTCCTAAACATTCTATGATGCGCACCTCAGCTCCCCACAGCAAAGAATAATGTGATCCAAGATCCAAAATGTCAGCAGCAGCAAGGCTGAAAAACCCTGGTCTAGACAGAAGCTGCTGCCAGCCATGGCTGGAATCTGGGTTTGTTCTCTGTCTCTCTCTCCCTCTCTCTCTCCGTTATAAGAGATGAGTATGTATACCAAAGGTGTTAAAGACCACATTATACCAAATCGAGGTTTTCAAGGACTGAAATTACAAAGGGAAGAATTTTCCCACTACATCTTTCAGAACCTTTCAACCCCATATCCATGAACCACCAAAAATCATCTCATGTACCAGTGCATCTCACTGTGTGACACGCTGAACAAGTCCAGCCTCCCCTTTCACAGATGGAAAAACCCAGGCCCAGCAGGGATCCTTGCAAGCTTAGTTCGGAGTGAGCAGAGCCCACAGAGTCCCATTTGCAGAGCATGGCAGCCCTGGCTGGCCAGCTTGTTCTGCAGAGGGGAGGCCTGAGACAGCCCTGACATGTCTGCGAAGCCCACCTGGGTTCAGTGCTTTTCTCCCCATACTGGCCTGTCCCTGACCTTCCCGGTCTCTGTGGGCAGGTCCCACAGCTTTTACAGGTCCCTTCCACTGCTCCTGAGATAGAAGAGGAAAAACCACCCCGACCTGGACTACAGCCCGAACACCATGACATGGGAGGTGCAACCTGCGTCACTCCCCAGGCTAGGGGCTGAAAAGAGTCTCGCTTCCAGCAGACGGCTCCAGCCACACCTGCCTCACCACACGTATGTACCTTCGGATATGCTGCTGCAGGTCGAAGTTTTTGGTGAATGACTTGTCACAGTATGAGCACTTGAGTTTCTGAGCCTTTGGCTTCCCTGCAGCTGAAAGACGAATGGAAGGAGGGGACAATGAGGCTAGGGTGCAGCTCAGGGCACCAAGGGCAGCCTCTGGCTGCTGAGCCAGACAATGCACACCCCAGGAAGTCTACACCCATGTGCAGGCCGGGGAGGAGACACCGGAGAGCTTCACAGGGACTGGGGAGGAAAGCCCAGGTCATGCTCTGGCTGGGAAAGTAAGACAAATCCTTCAAAGGCTCCCCTCTGCCTATAATCAAATCTACCCTCTTTGCCGTGGCCCACAGTGCTCTCCATCCACTAACTCCTGACAACCTCATCATTCTCTCCATGCAGCTGCAGTAGACTCCTAGTTAACCTTGCTAACCTTCAAAGACCTCAAGCATGTTCCTACCTTCAGGCCTTTGCACCTGCTGTTCCCCCTTGCCTGCAATGCTTGTCCCACAGATATACACAAGGCTGCTTCCTTCTCCTCCTCACCTGAGGAGAATCATTTACCAGCCTCTCCCTAGTTATTCTTAATCACAGGACCCATTAGCCTCCTTCTTAGAGCAACTCAGAAATATTTATTTATTCCCTGTCCATTTCTTCCATTAAACTGAAGGCAGAAGAAATCACAGACCAAGAGACTAGATCCCAGTGCCTGACACTGGGCCTGGCATACAGACGCTCCATACAGCATTGTGGAAGGAAGGAAGGAAGGGTAGGAAAGCCCCTGAAACATTCTCAGCTTCTCTCCTCTCCATCTGCTCCCTGCTCTGACTCCACCTCCCAGCCCCTACTTAGCATCTGCATTAGGATGGCAGATACTACTGCTTGCCTGATATCCACTCTCTCCTTCCCGCCTCACAAATCCCATAAAGGGAATATCAATGTCCCTAGCCAAAAGAGACACTTCCCAGCTTCTCCTGCAGCTAGGTATGGCCATGTGACTAAGTTTTCATCAACGAGATATAAGCAAAAATACGAAACAGAACTTCTAGAAGCTGGGAGAAGCTCCTTTTATCCTTCCCTTTCCCTTCTTACTACCTGGAACATTAAATTGATGACCGGAGTTCCAGCAGCCATCTGAGACAATGAGGCATCAGGATAACTGGTACTATGTTGTGGAGGTGGTGGAAACAGAAAGAAGAAACAGGGGTGTCTGGTGCCCATGCAGTCACATGATCCCCAGATTGTCTGCTTCTGGCCTTGATTTACACAGAAAATAAACAAAATTCTATCATTTTGAAGTTATTGCTATTTTGAATTTTCTATTACATGCAACCAAACTTGAACTACCATAAAAGGGAAGACCAGAACCAAGCAGCCTGTGGATCAGCCATGCTGAGGAAAGATGCCCATGGCAGGCTGGGGGCCCACCTTCGGGGAGTCCCCTGGCACCTTTAGCCCGTCGGGTCTTCAGCATTGGTGGAGAGTCAAAAGTGGCCACCGTGCCCCCGGCAGCGCTGGTCATGGGGGCCGTGGGGTTTGGTCCTTTGGGTTTGAATCCCTGCTTGCCAGGGCTGTACACGGCAGGGCTGGAGTATACTGGAGCCTCCACACACTGGTTTGGCACCTAGAAGGACAGCACAGTCAGGGAAAAAGCCCTGCTGGGGGAAGGGAAGAGCTCCCAGCCAGGGCACTCTCCCTGCCTTCCTGGCCAACCTCAGCCACTCTCCCCTACATGACCATCACAGACCCTCCACCTGCCCTGGTCACCCAAGTCACTCCCAAGCTCCCTCAGAACTTCATGAAGCCAGGAGGCCAGAACAGCTAAGGAGCCAGGCTGCCCGGGTTCAAATCTTGACTCTTCCACTTAGCACCTAAGTGACCGTAGGCATCTTTTACTTTCTCTGTCTCAGTTTCCACATCTGTAAAATGGGACTCATCATAGTACCCCTCTCATGGGATTACTGTGAAGATCAAAGCAAGCAACAAGTAAAGGGCTTAGAACAGTGACTGGCACAGAGTGAGCACGCAATATACAGTAGCTGTTATTATTGCCACGACTATGGCTTTTTGTGTTTTGTTTTGTTTTGTTTTGTTTTGAGACAAGGTCTCGCTCTATCACCAGGCTGAAGTGCAGTGGCACAATCTTGGCTCACTGCAACCTCTACCTCCCAGGTTCAAGCAACTCTCCTGCCTCAGCCTCCCAAGTAGCAGGGTGGCTCACACCACCCTGCCCAGCTAATTGGTTTTTCTTTTTGAGACAGAGTCTCCCTCTGTCACCAGGCACCAGGCTGGAGTGCGGTGGCGTGATTATCAGCTCACTGGGTTCAAGCGATTCTCCTGCCTCAGCCTCCCAAGTAGCAGGGTGGCTCACACCACCCTGCCCAGCTAATTGGTTTTTCTTTTTGAGACAGAGTCTCCCTCTGTCACCAGGCACCAGGCTGGAGTGCGGTGGCGTGATTATCAGCTCACTGGGTTCAAGCGATTCTCCTGCCTCAGCCTCCCAAGTAGCAGGGTGGCTCACACCACCCTGCCCAGCTAATTGGTTTTTCTTTTTGAGACAGAGTCTCCCTCTGTCACCAGGCACCAGGCTGGAGTGCGGTGGCGTGATTATCAGCTCACTGGGTTCAAGCAACTCTCCTGCCTCAGCCTCCCAAGTAGCAGGGTGGCTCACACCACCCTGCCCAGCGAATTGGTTTTTCTTTTTGAGACAGAGTCTCCCTCTGTCACCAGGCACCAGGCTGGAGTGCGGTGGCGTGATTATCAGCTCACTGGGTTCAAGCGATTCTCCTGCCTCAGCCTCCCAAGTAGCTGGGACTACAGGTGCGTGCCCAGCTCATTTTTGTTATTTTAGTAGAGATGGGGTTTCACCATGTTGGCCAGGATGGTCTCGATCACTTAACCTCATGATCCGCCCACCTTGGCCTCCCAAAGTGCTGGGATTTCAGGCATGAGCCACCGTGCCAGGCCATAATTTTTTTTTTTTTTTTTTTTGTATTTTTAGTAGAGACAGCATTTCACCATGTTTGCCAGGATGGTCTTGATCTCTTGACCTTGTGATCCACCTGTCCCGGCCTCCCAAAGTGCTGGGATTACAGGCATGAGCCATCACGCCCAGCCGACTACTCTTATCAGTGGTTCTTTGCTAGCTTAAGAGAACCAGGTGGCTGGGCACAGTGGCTCACATCTGTAATCCCAGCACTTTGGGAAGCCAAGGTGGGCAGATCACTTGAGGTCAGGAGTTTGAGACCAGCCTGGCCAACATGGTGAAACCCCATCTCTATTAAAAATACAAAAATTCGCCAGGCATGGTGGTGTGTGCCTGTAATCTCAGCTACTCAGGAGGCTGAGGCAAGAGAACTGCTTGAGCCTGGAAGACGGAGGTTGCGGTGAGCCAAGATCGCATCACTGCACTCCAGCCTGGGTAACAGAGCAAGACTCTGTCTCAAAGAAAAAAAGCGAGAGAGAGAGAGAGAGAGAGAGAGAGAACCAGGAAGTCAGAGGGGTCTGTGCTCTCCCCAGCTGCTCCACTTCCTGCCTGACAGTACCCAATCAATGGTACAGTAGCAGGCTTCCTCTCACTGAGAACTGAAGCCACAAGAAATGACCACATGAATTCTGAGTCATTCAGATTAAGTTAACATTAAGCTTACATCCCCACACTGGGACATCGTAAAGAATTCATTTTTTCAGCCTTTTTGTTGTTACTGTTGCTGTCTTTTGAGAGAGGGTCTTGCTCTATTGTCCAGGCTGGAATACAATGATGTGATCTCAGCTCACCACAGCCTTATCTCCCAGGCCTTGACCTCCCAGGCCCAAGCAATCCTCCCGCCTCAGCCTCTCAAGCAGTTGGGATGACAGGCACACACCACCTCACTTGGTTAATTTTTGTGTATTTTGTAGAGACGAGATTTTACCATGCTGCCCAAACTGGTCTCAAACTCCTGAGTTCAAGTGATCCAACCACTTCGGCCTCCCAAGGTGTAGGGATTACAGGCGTGAGCCTGGCCTATTCATCATTCATTGGTCTTCCTGAGGTGTCCTACCTAAAATTTCTGGCCAAGCACGATGCTCATGCCTGCAATTCCAGTACTTTGGGAAGTTGAGGAAGGAGGATCGCTTGAGCATATGAGATTGAGACTAGCCTGGCCAACATAGGGAGATCTCGTCTCTACAAAATATTTAAAAAACTAGTTGGGCATGGTAACACATGCCTGTAGTCCCAGTTTCTCAGGAGGCTGAGATGGGAGAATCACCTGAGCCTGGGAGATCGAGACTGCGGTGAGCCGTGATCATGCCACTTCACTCCAGCCTGGGTGACAGAGCAAGACTCTGTCTCAAAAAAAAAAGACTACAACTAAGCAAAAAGCCCAAATTTCAAAAAATATTTCAGATAAACAAAAATAAACAGAAAGCTACAGTTGGAGTAATAAAATCAGACAAAACTGAAAAAAGGTTTAAAAAACACTATTTATAAAATCTAGCTGGGCACAGTAGCTCATGCCTGTAATCCCAACACTCTGGGAGGCTGAGGTGAGAGGCTCACTTGAGGCCAGGAGATGGAGACCAAGCTGGGCTAAAGTGAGATCACCATCTCTAATTAAAAAAAAAAAAAAAATCCCTCTGCAGAAATACGTTGCCTGGTTTCTCTTTTCCTGGCCAAACCCTGACCAATACAGCACTCAATAAACACTTGTCAGGCAGGGTGCGTGCAGGAGCTCACACCTGTAATCCCAGCACTTTGGGAAGCCGAGGCAGGCAGATCACCTGAGGCCAGGAGTTCCAGAGCAGCCTGGCCACTATTTTTAATGAAAATACAAAAAACTTAGCTGGGCGTGGTAGCACATGCCTGTAATATCAGCTACTCAGGAGGCTGAGGCACGAGAATCGCCTGAACCCAAAAGGTGGAGGTTTCAGTGAGCTGAGATCACACCACTGCACTCCAGCCTGGGAGACATTGTGAGACTCTGTCTTAAATAAATAAATAAATATTTGTCACATGAATACATTCACCCATCACTCAAGGCATTACTGAGTAATTAATGTGACTGCCACTGGCATAGGCTCTTATTATCCTCAACAGCTCTTCTAGGAGAGTTCCCATCTTAGAGGGGTGCAAACTGAGGCCATGGCCCAATGTAAGATATCTACTCTAGGAGGACCACAGGCCAGGTGCTCTGCTAGGTGCTAAAGATGCGAAGTCTAAGAAGAATCAGGCTCTGCCCTCAAATATCACCCTCATCTACATGGAAAATCAACAGCAGCCGCTCCCTCTGTGCTGGTCCCCACTGGGCTGGTCCCCTCTGACTACCAAGCCACCAGGATTATCTCAGCATCACACTGAACTTTTTCTCAATTTGATCAATTCCCTAGAGAAGCTTGCTCTGTTCTCCCAGGCTAGGGCAAAGCCCGTCAAAGCCCCTCAGAACATCACGTGAATGCCTTGCGGTGGGATCTTCCGACTGGTCTGGGCTCTCTTTATAAGGGACTACCTGACATGCGGTGGGCCTGAGTTAGTGTGATTTCCAGTGCAGGTGGGTTGTTTCTGTTGTAACCATCCCCTCTAGCACTCGTGTCTTGGAAGGTTCTATGAACTCAGTGCATTTTGAGTAGACAGCCTGTAGCTTAGAGCTCATGGGCAGGGAATTAGCACGGTACATTGATTGGATTATGGCCCCAATTCATCACCCCTCCCCGTACCCATGCCTTTGCAGTGTGACTTTGCAGCTCCTCCCATCAAGAGGTGGCATCTATTTCCCTACCTGCTGAATCTAAGCTGGTCTTGTGATCTGCTTTGGCCAGCAGAAGTGATTCTGTGTTATCTACAAGCCTAAACCTCAAGAGGCCTTGGGCATTTCTGCACCTCCACCACGGCCACGAGAACCTACCGGAGGATGAGAGTCACGCAGAACAGAGCTGAGGCACCCCACTTGTCCCAGCCCAGGCCATCCTAGAGCAGCTGACAACCAGCCAACCTTCAGACATATGAGTGAGTCCAGCCTAGATCTGCAGAGTTGTCTCGCTGACCATGCAAACACGTGAACAATAACCACTTTTGTGATACATTACTGATGTCTGATGGATATTTCTTTCCCAGCAATAGCTAACTGATACACCTAGCTTATTAAAAACTGTCAGAGACACTTAGGCAGATAATTTTTTAAAATCTTTTTTAATTTTTTTGCCCGAAAAGGCAAGCAATCTCGGACCGTTCTGAGCATTACCTGCAGGCAGCTTATATTTCTGCTACAACCTGTACTCCACTTCACCATCTCATGGCTGGCATCTTACATCTGTGGGTTTGAGGCTTTGATGAAAGTCCTTCTCCTCCATGATGTGGTACACCCCACGAAGGCCAGGACTCGGTTTGCTTTTCACGGTATCCCTAGCACAATACCTGGCACACAGCTGGTGCTCAGGACGGGTCCAGGTTGCCCAAGATGTCCATGACTAGTATTCCCTTCCACCCTGCCCCCTCTGCTCACCTCCAGGGGTGGATAGGGCTGCATCCCCAGCGCCTGGATCTCCACGGTTCCACTCCCAGCCAGGGGCGCAGCAGCACTGTATACCTCCACCACACCGTTCCCTCCAGGGTTGGGACGCCCAGGGGGGCCCAGGCTCTGGGGTGGAGGTGGTGGGGGCTGAGGTGGTGGTGGTGGGGGCAGTGGTGGAGGAGGCGGAGGAGGGGGTGGAGGCTGGGTGAGGTAGCTGGGCACGGAATGCATGTTTAGGCTGCTCTGAAATCAGAAAAGAAAAGTGTTACAGCTTCTTGATACCAGCTGTCTGACTTATCAGGGAGGAAGGACATTGGCTTTAGCCAGCCAGGTGGAAAGAACAGCTACTCACCAGGCAGCTCAGGGGAGGGGCTAAGCGGGGTTGGGGAAAGAAACTCATAGGCGAATTGAGAGGAAGCCTTGGCTCGGTGCTGCTTTCCCTCTTCCCTATGAAATTAGGCAGAAAGGACCTAACTCACGCAGAAAAGAGTTAACAGAGCAGCCTAATGTTGCTATCTTCAAAAGGGCTTTCTTGCAGCAGCAGCTCGTGACTGGGATCTGAGACCCTGGCTTGTGGGACATCTCCTTTGTCGATAAGGCTTGTTTTGCCCACCTGGGGCACTGTTCTATTGTACCAGCTTACATAGGCTATTTGGACAAAAAATGGGATTCATGGTGAACACTTCCTTCTCTTCTGGGAGTCTGGAATTTTGGTCATGGTGACTGGTCAACTATCTGACCAATCCCTAACAGAAACCCTGGCCTTGGGCCTGGCGCAGTGGCTCACACCTGTAATCTCAGCACTTTGGGAGGCCGAGGCAGGTGGAATCCAGGAGTTTGAGACCAGTCTGGGCAACATGGCAAAACCACATCTTTACTAAAAATTCAAAAAAATTAGCCAGGCATAATGGTGCATGCCTGTTGTCCCAGCTACTCAGGAGGCTGAGGTGGGGGAATCACCCGAGCCCAGGGAGGTGGAGGTTGCAGTGAGCCGAAATCACACCACTGCACTCCAGCCAGGGCAGTTGAAGTAAGATCCTGACTCCAGAAAAAAATCAAAAAAACCGACCCTGGCCATGGAGTCTTAAGTGTGTTTCCCCAGGTAGAAACACGGCACACATGTTGCTAGACTTCATGGCTGCAGTAATAATGTGTTTTGTGCAACCTCTCTCCTCCTCCTCCCCAAGACAGAGAACTCTGGATTCCTCCAGATGCCACCAGATGGTGTCTTTTTCCCTCACTGAACTTGCCGTGTGTCCCTTTGCTGTAATAAACCACAGCCATGAGTACAACCACCTCTGAGTCCCGTGAGTCTTTCGAGACAATCATGAATGTGTGGGTAGCCATGAAACGCAGCCAGTGACTTCTAGAAATTTATGCTACAAAAAAAGTCAAGCAGGTGGGCAAAGACGTCTATACATAGATAGTGACTCCAACCATTTTCACAACAGCAAAAACTAGCAATGACCTACATGTCTATACATAGAAACTTGGCTACATAGAAGACAGCCCTTCCATGTGGTGGAATCCTTTGCAGCTATTAAAATGATTGTGCTGATGGGTGCAGTGGTTCACACCTGTAATCCCAACACTTTGGGAGGCAGAGGCAGGAGGATTGTTTGAGCCCAGGAGTTTGAGACCAGCCTGGGCAATGTAGCCAGACCCTGTCTCTAAAAAAAAAATGTTTTAATTAGCCAAGTATGTTGGCACACATATGTAGTCCCAGCTACTCAGGAGGCTGAGGAGGGAGGATTGCTTGAGCCCAAGAGTTTGAGGTTACAGTGAGCTATGATCCCACCACTGCACTCCAGCCTGAGTAACCTGAGTGAGACACTGCCTCAAAAATTTAAAAAGAAAAAACAAAACAAATAAAAAAAAACACGATGATGCTGATCAGCATTTCATAAGGGACACGGGGTCCTCCTCTTCACTGCTATTCCTTATGTTCCACAGTAAAATATGTTTGAGGAAAAAGTCTCTGTTGAGAAAATCAAAAGGATTTCTATATGGCAGGAAGAACCCAGGGACACAGCAAGGGGAGAAGTAAAACACCTCCACCTTAGGCTCATTTGGCCGCAGATCCTTTTTGTATTAAAAAATTCCCAGCCAGGTGCAGTAGCTCACGTCTAAAATCCCAGCACTTTGGGAAGCCAAGGCTGGAAGATCCCCTGAGCCCAGGAGTTCAAGATCAGCCTGGACAACAAAGGGAGACCCCATCTCTACAATTTTTATTTTTAATCCCAGGAACTACTATGCATTTTCTGTTTCTCTTTTTTGTTTGTTTTTTTTTTTGAGACAGAGTCTCGCACAGTCGCCTGGGCTGGAGTACAGTGGAGCGATCTTGGCTCACTGCAACCTCCACCTTCCCGGTTCAAGAGATTCTCCTGCCTCAGCCTCCTGAGTAGCGGTGATTACAGATGCCTACCACACCTGGCTAATTTCTTGAATTTTTAGTAGAGATAGGGTTTCACTATGTTGACCAGGCTGGTCTCAAACATCTGACCTCATGACCCAACTGTCTTGGCCTACCAAGGTGCTGGGATTACAGGTGTGAACCATCGCACCCAGCCCACATTTTCTGTTTTTCTAATGGACAGGGGACACTTGTTAAGAATAAAAACAAGGCAGGCCGGGATTGGTGGCCCACTCCCGTAATCCCAGCACTTTTGGAGGCCTAGGCAGGTGGATCACGGGGTCAGGAGATCAAGACCATCCTGGCTAACATGGTAAAAACCTGTCTCTACTAAAAATAGAAAAATTAGCCGGGTGTGGTGGTATGCTCCTGTAGTCCCAGCTACTCAGGAGGCTTAGGCAGTAGAATCACTTGAACCTGGGAGGCAGAGGTTGCAGTGAGCAGAGATCATGCCATTGCACTCCAGCATGGGCAACAGAGCAAGACTCCCTCTCAAAAAAAAAAAAAGGCCAGGTGAGGTAGCTCATGCCTGTAATCCCAGCTCTTTGGAAGGCCAAGGCAGGTGGATCATCTGAGGTCATGAGTTTGAGACCAGCCTGACCAACACAGTGAAATTCCATCCCTACTAAAAATACAAAAATTAGTGTGTAATCCCAGCTACTCAGGAGGCTGAGGCAGGAGAATTGCTTGAACCTGGGAGGCTGATGTTGCAGTGATCCGAGATCGTACCACTGTCCTCCAGCCTGGGCAAGACAGCAAGACCCTGTCTCAAAAAAAAAAAAAGTTGGAAATCAGGCTGGGTGCAGTGGCTCACGCCTGTGATCCCAGCACTTTGGGAGGCTGAGGTGGGCACATCACCTGAAGTCAGGAGTTCAAGACCATCCTGGTCAACATGGTGAAACCCCATCTCTACTAAAAATACAAAAATTAGCCAGGTGTGGTGGCACACACCTGTAATCCCAGCTACTCAGGAGGATGATGAAGGAGAAACACTTGAACCCAGGAGGCAGAGGTTGCAGTGAGCTGAGATCACACCACTGCGTACCAGCCTGGGCAACAGAGTAACACTCCATCTCAAAAAAAAAAAGGTCAAAATAGCTGGACTGAACCTACAAAGCCCCACACATTCTGGGTCCCCACCTAGATGTAGCAGCTTCCCCACCTATAGCAGAGCTGGACAAGGGGAAGCTGACAGCCCCCCTCAGCATCAGGGAGAGCTGGGGCCAGGCCCCCTTTATTCTACAAGATTCTGAATCTGCAGGAGTTAATGTGTAGGTCTGGAATCAAGACCCCACAAGAAGCCCACACCTTCTTACCTGCACAGGTGGGGGGCCCTGGGGCATGGGCTGGTCCAGGGATGTGAAGGCTGACATGGCAGACATGAGCACGTCATCGCTCACCAAGATGTTCCCCTGTACCAGGGTCTGGATCAGTGGGGATGGGGGCACTGTGATGTATGTGGAAATCTGGACAGTGAGAGAGAGAGACTGAGTGAGAGAGAAACAGAGAGAGAAAGAGTGTGTGTGCATGTGTGCGTGTGCGCATGTGTGGACACATCTGAGGCTCTGTAAGTCAGCCAAGGAGGGCATGATGCAAAAGATCCAGGTTCTGGAGTCCCACAGACTTGGGTTCTATTTCTACCTCTGCTGCTCCCTGCTGTGTGAGCCCAGGCAAGTCACTCTACGTCTCTGTGCCTCCATTTAATCATCTACCAAATGAGAAAGATAAGGCCAGCCATGGTGGTTCACACCTGTAATCCTAGCAATTTGGGAGGCTGACGCAGGTGAATCACTTGAACTCATTTTGGGAGGCTGAGGCAGGTGAATTGCTTCAACCAGGAGTTCAAGACCAGCCTGGGCAACATGGTGAAACCGTCTCTACAAAAAAATACAAAAATTAGCCAGTGTGGTTGCACACACCTGTAGTCCCAGTTACTTGGAAGGCTGAAGTGAGAGGATCACCTGAGCCCAGGAAGTACAGACTGCAGTGAGCCATGATCACACCACAGCACTCAAGCATGAATGACAGAGTGAGACTCTGTCTCTAAAAAAAACAAAAAACAGGCCAGGCGCAGTGGCTCACACCTGTAATCCTAGCACTTTGGGAGGGCGAGGCAGGCGGACTGCCTAGCTCAGGAGTTTGCAACCAGCCTGAGCAACATGGTGAAACCCCGTTTCTACTAAAGTACAAAAAAAAATCAGCTGGGCATAGTGGCAGGCGCCTGTAGTCCCAGCTACTTGGGAGGCTGAGGCAGGAGAATCATTTGAACCTGGGAGGCGAAGGTTGCAGTGAGCCGAGACTGCACCATTGCACTCCAGCCTGGGTTAACAAGAGCAAAACTCTGTCTCAAAACAAATGAGGAGAATAACTCACATCTCTCTGCGAAGTACATACCCTATGACTCAGTAATAATACTTCTTTGTATTGGCTGGGCGCAGTGGCTCACACCTGTAATCCCAGCACTTTGGGAGGTCAAGAAATAGAGACCATCCTGGCCAACATGGTGAAACTCCGTCTCTACTAAAAATACAAAAACTGGCTAGGCATGGTGACGCATTCCTGTAGTTCCAGCTACTCAGCTGAGGCAGGAGAATCGCTTGAACCCAGGAGGAAGAGGTTGCAATTAGCCAAGATTGTGGCACTGCACTCCAACCTGGGCAATAGAGTGAGACTCCATCTCAAATAAATAAATAAACAAATACTTCCTTGTATCTATGTCCTGTCGACATGGGACTGAACCCATGTCCACAGGAAGTCCACAAGTATCTTAGGTCAAGAAAAATATTCGGTCTGGTGCAGTGACTCATGCCTGTAATCCCAGCACTTTGAGAGGCTAAAGCAGTGGATCACTTGAGGTCATGAGTTCGAGACCAGCCTGGCCCACATAGTGAAACCCTGTCTCCACTAAAAATACAAGAAGTAGCTGGGCATGGTGGTGGGTGCCTGTAGTCCCAACTACTGGGGAAGACTGAGGTAGGAAAATCACTTGAACCTGGGAGATGGACGTTGCAGTGAGCTGAGACTGTGCCACTGCACTCCAGCCTGAGCAACAGAGCAAGATTTTAGCAAAAACAAACAAACAAACAAAGATAGGGGTGAGGGGAATATTTTCTACTAGCAAAACTCATAGTCAAGCAGTGAGAAAAATGACTATGTTTTATGCCAGAAGATGCCTGCTTCAGTCTATATGTCCTATGAGTCTGAGCTGAAGGCTTTCATTTTGATGGCAGAAATGATACCTATACAATGAATGAAGATAATGTTCCAAAGGGATAAGGAACGAAAAGGAAGCCAGTTGGAAATCTGACCCCTTGACCTGGCATCCTGAGATATGCCCAGCCTCCTTTATGAGGGATCCTTTAATCTCCCTATGAGCCCCCCACCCAGGGTGTCTTTGCTCCAGAAGCATGTGTTTGGCTGAGGACTCTGGAAGCTTCCCCAGATGCCTGCAGCCTGGCCCTCTCCTCTGGCCTCGTGACTTGGAAGTCTACGCTGTCTACTTCGTCACTGCCTCCATTTAAAGGCCGGCAGGCGTCTCAACTTCAACATGCCCAGCTGAGCTCCTGACATCCCCGGAAAACCTTCTCCTCACAACCTCCTCTCTTCAGTTAGTGGCAACTCTAAATCAGGAGTCCCCCGGAATCTTTCTTTATCTCACACTCCTCACCCAATCAATTCACAATTTCTGTCCACAACACCTTCAAAGTGCTTCTAAAATCTCACGCTTTCTCACCACCTCCATTACCAACATGCTGGTCAAGCTACCTGCATCCACTGCCTGGATATGTGCCACAGACCCCCCATCTGGTCTCCAGGCGTTCTCTCTTGTCCTCCCTCAAAACCTATTCTCTATCCAGCAGCCAGTGTGACCTGATTAAAGTCACTATGTCCCTCCTCGGCTTGACAGCCTCCAGTGGCTCCCATCTCACTCTCAGTGAAAGTCCCAGGGCCCACACGATCTGCCAAGACCCTCCTGCTGCCCCTCCTATCACCTCCAACCTTCCTACCTAGTCACTCAGCCCCAGCCACTCTCACCTCCTCCTAGTTCCTGGAACAAATCCACTCCTGCCTCAAGGCCTCTGCACCTGCTGATCCCCACACCTGGCTCCCGCTTCCCCAAACCAGCTGCATGACTCATTCCCCAGCCTCCTTAGGTCTATCTGGTATGTTCTTCCTATTTAAGTAACTGCAGAAATTAAATAGTACTATCGTTTTGGATTTTTAAAATAATAATATATTATCTACTTATTATTACACAACTTGATTTTTCATACAACACCTTTACCTGCTATATAGTACTTATTCTTCCTGCTCACCTCTTCACAGAGCCCTTCACCAAGCACCATAGGCAATATGGCAAAACCTCCCACCCCCATCTGGCATCCCCTATCTCTGCACATGCTGAAAACATACATGTGCACCGTCCATCCCACCCTACTCCACAAGGGCAGTGACTTGGTCTGTCTTATCCATTGCTATAGCCCCAGTGCCCGGCATAGTACCTGAGCATGATAGGCACTCCAAAGAGACGTGTTGAATGAATGAATGAACAAACAAATGAATACCTGGCGATTGGCAGGAGGCGGGGCCTGCTGGACCGCTGTGGGGGCTGCTGAAGGTGTGTAGATGTTGTTGGTGGCCAGTGAGACTGTGGCCAGGGCAGGGGTGTGCCCCTGGCACTGTTCCCGCTTGTGGGTCATAAACGCTGGCAGTGAGTTGAATTGCTTCTTACACTTCCCACAGAGAAAGACATCCTCGTCATCTGGGGTCATACCCGAAGGGTAGCGGGAAGAGGGCCACAGACAAAGGTAAAGTAATGAAAAAAAGCAAGAACATGTCAAGGGGCATCACAGTGTGAAACAGAACTGTGCTGACCACAGGAGCAGCAATCCGGGTGACACACAGGTGTCAGGCATCAACCATGTGCTTCCTAGGAGCTTTCAAAACCACACAGGCGGCCAGGTACAGTGGCTCACGCCTATAATCCCAGAACCTTTCGAGGCCAAGGAGGGTGGATCACCTGAGGTCAGGACTTCAAGACCAGCCTGGCCAACATGGTGAAACCCCATCTCCACTAAAAACACAAAAATTAGCTGGACATGGTGATGCGTGCCTGTAGTCTCAGCTACTCGGGAGGTTGAGGCAGGAGAATTGCTTGAACTTGGGAGGCAGAGGTTGCAGTGAGCCTAGATCGTGTCACTGTACTCCAGCCTGGGAAACAGAGTAACACTCCATATCAAGAAAAACAAATAAATAAATAGGAGAAGGCCCTTACAGCCTGGTCTGTAAACAGGAGAAATTCATGCTCAGCCTATTATTTCCACAGAAGAGGGGCTGAAAAATCACTTCCAGGGCAAAGGCATAAACATTGTCGTAAGGCAGCGGGGCCCTTAGCCATTCACTGCACCATGACCCCATCTCCCCATGTTTATTAAGCAGTTGAGAGCTGGTGTCCTCAGAGCTAAGCAGAGAAAGGCATCAGCCCAGAGATCCAGGCTGGGAGGTAGCGGAGAAGGTTCAGACACCAGAGCATGTCCTGGGGCCCAGAGCAGGCATTTCACTCCCACAGCCCAGCACGAGTTCCACCTACTCTTCCTGGGGAGCCACTCACCCTTCCACTGGTGAACTTGAACAGATACTCACCCAATGGCTGGATAGCAGGGGGTGCATTAACACTCTGGCCAGTTGGATCAGGGACTGCTCCTTGGCCATCCAATAATGACTGGACAGCCAGAACGGTCTGATTGTCCATTCCTGAAAAAAGAAATGCAGCCTCTTTGGAAGGCAGGCCCAGCATCGTGCTCTGACATCACGCTTATACGCCAGACCTACAGCAAAACCCCTGTGGCCGCTGGGTATAGTGGCTCACACCTGTAATCCCAGCACTTTGGGAGGCTGAGGCAGGAGGTCGCTTGAGCCCAGGAGTTTAAGACCAGTCTTAGTCAAAAATGACTGCCCAAAAAGAAAAAAAAAAAAAAAAAAGCCAGGTGCAGTGGCTCACGCCTGTAATCCCAGCACTCTGGAAGGCTGAGGCAGGTGGATCACAAGGTCAAGAGATCGAGACCATCCTAGCCAACATGGTGAAACCCTATTTCTACTAAAAATACAAAAATTACACCCTGTCTCAAACAAGACAAAACCCTGTGGCAAAGATGGCTGACTATGTCCCAATATACATTCTCTCCTATTTCCATTGTGATAGAACCCAAGATTTTGGGATGGAAAGATGACCCCCCAAATAAAGATTACACCTCGCAACCTCTCTTACAGTTAGGGAACAAGTTCTGGCCAAAGGAATGTAAACGTGCTGTATGGCCGCTTCTGAGTTTTCCTTTTTTTTTTTTTTTTTTTTTGAGACTAAGTCTTCCTTAGTTGCCCTGGCTGGAGCACAATGGCATGATCTCAGCTCACTGCAATCACTACCTCCTGGGTTCAAGCAATTCTCCTGCCTCAGCCTTCCGAGTAGCTGGGATTTACAGGTGCATGCCACCACACCCAGCTAATTTTTTGTGTTTTTAGTAGAGACGGGGTTTCACCATGTTGACCAGGCTGGTCTCAATTTCCTGACCTCGTGATCTGCCTGCCTCAGCCTCCCAAAGTGCTGGGATTACAGGCATGGAAGTTATCTTAAAACTGCCTGATAAGTGAACCCTCTTCTTTGTCCCATCCTCCTTTCTGCTTCCCAGAATAAGAATATGGTGGTTGCAACTCTATCCACCACCCTGGACCATAAGGAGAAACCCTAGGATCATAGGATAAAAAGCTGGATAGGGGCCGGGTGCGGTGGCTCACGCCTATAATCCCAGTACTGTGGGAGGCTGAGGCCGGTGGATCACAAGGTCAGGAGACAGAGACCATCCTGGCCAATGTGGAGCCAAGACTATGCCACTGCACTCCAGCCTATAATCCCAGTACTGTGGGAGGCTGAGGCCGGTGGATCACAAGGTCAGGAGATAGAGACCATCCTGGCCAATGTGGTGAAACTCGGTCTCTACTAAAATACAAAAAAAAATTAGCTGGGCATGGTGGCGCACACCTGTAGTCCCAGCTACTCAGAAGGCTGAGGCAGGGGAATTGCTTGAACCCAGGAGGCAGAGGTTGCAGTGAGCTGAGATTGTGTCACTGCACTCTAGCCTGGCAACAGACCAAGACTCTGTCACAAAAAAAAAAAAAAAAAAAAAAAAAAAGCTGGATAGGGCTGGACATGGTGACTTATGCCTTGTAATCCCAACACTCTGGGTGGCCGAGGCAAGTATATCACCTGAGGTCAGGAGTTCGAGGCCAATATGGTGAAACCCCGTCTCTACTAAAAATACAAAATCAGCTGAGTGTGTTGGCATGTGCCTGTAATCCCAACTACTTGGGAGACTGAGGCAGGAGAATCACTTGAACCCAGGAGGCAGAGGCTGCAGCGAGCCAAGACTATGCCACTACACTCCAGCTGGGTGACAAGAGCGAAACTCTGTCTCAAAAAAAAAAAAAAAGCTGGATAATTTGGATAAATCCTGGCCCTCTAAGAACCTTGTAGAACACAGCCATCCTCCTATCCTAGACTGCCTTCCCCCGAACTTTCACGTGAAAGAAATAATCTTCCAGCCTGCTGTAGCCACTGTAATGTGCGGCTCCTATCTTACTAATGGCTGACTCTAATCCTAAGTGACAAAGTCCCTCTGGAAATCACATTAGCCAGTCATCCTCATTTACACCCACAAACCCCACAGATCTGTCTGCACACAGGCATCCTTGCCTTCCTGATTTTCAATGTGCGCCTGTCTTTTTTATTCCTCAGTAAACAACAGACTCTGAGTTGGTGGCTGGGCATCAAGAAATTGACTTCTTCCATGTTTTCTCATCGGTTACCACAGTTGAAGTTCACAGTAGTATACTGTCCGGCCATGTCACTAGCCCGATGACAGGTCTCCTCATATCTCAGTGGCCACTAAGGCACACTGCCCCCCCCCCAAAAGACTCAGATGGAGCCTCCTCTCTATGACCCCACAGCGCATACTCTGTCTCCAACCTCTCAGCTCTTACCTGGAAGTCTGCCCAAGCTTCTAACTGCAATGCAAATTGAAACCATCAGCTCCTACAGCCAAAGTGAATCCATGCTTTCCCTTGTCACAATGCACGCTGTGTCCCTCCTGACGCCAGCTCTCCACTGCAACCCCTTCTGCTCCCCAGAAAACACTCTCCACCAGCTCTCACCACCCCGTGCCTGGGAACCATCCACAGCTACACAGATCAGTCTCTCCGGAGTGCCCTCCTGCGAACTCTTCAGCTCTCCTCCCTTCAACAGCAAGTATCCCATGAGGGTCACCTATACCCTCTATCTCTTCCACCACCTTCCAGTTCTCCTCCCCACTCTCGTGGGACTTAAGCCCTCCACCATCTGGAACCACCTCTGAAAAAACTGTAAAGTGAGAAAATCATGACAGAGAAAGACACCTGACCTAACCAACCCCAACCTTTGCCTTTAACCTCCAACCTGCCCTTAATCATCCCTGGGCTTGGGTCAAGCTAACTTTGGGAGAAATTTAGTTTACAGTTTAAATGACCATAGATAACCCTTCCAAAAACTAAACCACCTTTGTAAAGCTAATGAAAGACTACTAGGTTAGGAGGGTAAGAGGAGCCTAAATTCTGCTAAGGTACAGACACAAATTATTACCCGTCATTACTCCAGCGGTTACAAGATTTGCAACTTCCCCAATTACTACTGCAGATAATATTATTATTATTTTGAAATGGGATCTATGTTGCCCAGGAGGGTCTCAAACTCTTGCGCTCAAGGGATCCTCCCACCTCGGCCTCCCAAAGTGCTGGGAATACAGGCGTGAGCCACCATACCTGGCCAACATCATCATTATTATTACTATTGTTTTATTTTATTTTTTAATATTACTATTATTTTGAGATAGAGGTTTGCTCTTGTTGCCCAGGCTGGAGTACAATGGTATGATCCTGGCTCATGGCAACCTCTGCCTCCCAGGTTCAAGTGATTCTGCAGCCTCAGCCTCCCCACTAGCTGTGATTACAGGCATGTGCCACCACACCTGGCTAATTTTGTATTTTTAGTAGAAAGGGGGTTTCTCCATGTTAGTCAGGCTGGTCTCAAACTCCCAACCTCAGGTGATTCGCCCATCTCAGCCTCCAAAAGTGCTGAGATTACAGTCGTGAGCCATCACATCCGGTCCCAACATCATTATTACAGAACCTAAGATTGGCCTTTTGAGATATCTTCATATTTTTGCATTCCTGACAACCAATGGCTCCACCCGGCCCCGCCAATGGGTCCTACGGCCCTGCCCAGAAGCAGACTCTGCATGTAGGAGGACTATTTTCCACATCCCTATAATTGTACCCCTAATCAATCAGCAGCCCATGTCCTTGCCCTGCAACCTATCCTTGAAAAAGCCTAGCCTCTAAATTTTCTAGGAGGCTGATTTGAGTAATAACAAAATTCCAGTCTCCTATTCAGCCACCTCTGTGTGAATTTAATTGTTTCTCTACTGCAATTCCCCTGTATGGATAAACTGGCTGTATCTGGGCAGCAGGCAAAATAAACCCATTGTGTGGTTAAAGTGCCACCAAAACACTTTCCCCACCATCACCAAAGACCATCTGGCAGCATCTGCCACTCCCTGAAACACACTGTTCTTTGGCTCCAGGGCACAGCCTCCCTGGGTCTTCTCTACTTTTCTGTGCCTCCTTTACGCTCTTCTCCTGGCCACTCCCAAGTGTTTCCATTATTAGGAAACATTTTGTCCTTTCTTCCTTTGTCTGGACTCTCTCTCCTCTGCCTCTCATGCTGTCCCTGGGCAGTCTCACCACCCCAGTGTACTTCCTTCCAATATCTGGAGTTTCAAGCCTGGTGTTCAAGCTCCCCTGAACAAGTTTCAGTGAATCTCCCACCATTTTACACAAAATTGTCAGCATTTTTGCATTTGTGTGCAAATCTGTACACAACTGTTCATAGCACTTTTATATATAATAGTAAAAAACTTACCCTAGGCAGCATGGTGAAACCCCATCCCTACTAAAAATACAAAGAATTAGCCAGGTGTGGTGGTGCGCACCTGGAGTCCCAGATACTTGGGAGGCTGAGGCAGGAGAATTGCTTGAACCTGGGAAGTGGAGGTTGCAGTGAGCCAGTTCATGCCATTGCACTCCAGCCTGGGCAACAGTGAACGTTTTGAGATGGGATCTCCCCATATTGCCCAGGTGAAAACCTGGTGGTGTTTCAATAGCTTTACAAAGGTGGTTTACTTTTTGGGAAGGGCCATTATCATTTAAATGGTAAACTAAATTTCTCCCTAAGTTAGGTTAGTCCAAGCCCAGGGACAACTAAGGGCAGTTTGGAGGTTAAAGGCACGGTGAGGGTTGGTTAGGTCAGGTGTCTTTTTCTGTCATGATTTTCTCACAATTTTTGCAGATGCAATTTCAGAATGGTGGGGGGCTTAAGCCCCACTAGAGTTGGGGAAGAGGACCAGAGGTAGTAGAGGAGACAGAGTGTAGGAAATGGTTCAGAAGAACAACTGAACTGTTTCTAGTTTTTACTATTTTTTTTTCTTTTTTGAAACATTGAGACCCTGCCTCAAAAAAAAAAATAATAAAAGGCCGGGCGTGGTGGCTCACTGCTGTAATCCCAGCACTTTGGGAGAGCGACGCAGGCAGATCACAAGGTCAAGAGATAGAGACCATCCTGGCCAATATGGTGAAACTCCGTCTCTACTAAAAATACAAAAAAAATTAGCCAGGCATGGTGGTGTGTGCCCGTAGTCCCAACTACTTGAGAGGTTAAGCCAGGGAATTGCTTGAAACTGGAAAACAGAAGTTGCAATGAGCTGGGATTGCGCCACTGCACTCCAGCCTGGCGACAGAGGGAGACTCTGTCTCAGAAAAAAAAAGTTCGGGCACAGTGGCTCATGCCTATAATCCCAGCACTTTGAGAGGCAGTGGCAGGCAGATCACGAGGTCAGGAGTTCAAGACCAGTCTGGTCAACATGGTGAAACCCAATCTCTACTAAAAATACAAAAATCAGCTGGGTATGGTGGTGCACTCCTATAATACCAGCTACTCAGGAGGCTGAGGCAGGAGAATTGCTTGAACTGGCACCTGGGAGGCGGAGGTTACAGTGAGCTGAAATAATGCCACTGCATTCCAGCCTGGGCTACACAGCGAGACTCTGTCTCAAAAAATTGTCGTTATTATTCTTATAAATATAAAAACTGAGCCGGGCACGGTGGCTCAAGCCTGTAATCCCAGCACTTTGGGAGGCCGAGGCAGGTGGATCACGAGGTCAAGAGATCAAGACCATCCTGATCAACACGGTGAAACCCCGTTTCTACTAAAAATACAAAATATTAGCTGGGCATGGTGGCGCGTGCCTGTAATCCCAGATACTCAGGAGGCTGAGGCAGTAGAATCGCCTGAACCCGGGAGGCGGAGGTTGCAGTGAGCCGAGATCGCACCATTGCACTCCAGCCTGGGTAACAAGAGTGAAACTCCATCTCAAAAAATAAAATAAAATAAAATAAATATAAAAACTGAAAACAGTTCAGATGTTCTTCAATGAATGGTTAAATGGCGGAATATCCATACTATAGAATACTACTAAGCAATAAAAAGGAACAAAGTATGGCTATACACGACAACTTGCATGAATCGCTAGGGAATTATCATGGGTGAAAAAAGCCCATCTCAATGTTCTGTACTTTAGCACACAACATTGTATACTAAATGAATACTTTAGTATTCATTTACATAGCATTCTTTTTTTTTTTTGAGACGGAGTTTCCCTCTTGTCACCCAGGCTGGAGTGCAATGGCGCGATCTCAGCTCACGGCAACCTCCGCCTCCCGGGTTCAAGCAATTCTCCTTGCCTCAGCCTCCCAAGTAGCTGGGATTACAGGCACATGCCTCCATGCCCAGCTAATTTTTGTATTTTTAGTAGAGACAGGGTTTCACCGTGTTGACCATGATGGTCTCGATCTCTTGACCTCGTGATCCACCCGCCTCGGTCTCCCAAAGTGCTGGGATTATAGGTGTGAGCCACTGCGCCCAGCCTACATAGCATTCTTAAACTCACAAAATTTTAGAAGTGGAGACAGATGAGTGGTTCTCAGGCATCAAGGATGGTGGGAGGAGGGGAACATTTAGGGTGTGGCTATAAAAGGGCAACCCCTTGGATTGATGCCACTGTCCTGTATGTTGACCAGTGGTGATATACCATAGTTTCACAAAATGTTACACGGGGGGAAATGGGGCAAAGGACACGTGGGATCTCTCTACATTATTTCTCACAACTGCATGTGAATCTACAGAAAAAGTGATTTCAAAATAAAAAATTTAAACAGCGGGTACAGTGCCTTATGCCTATAATCCTAACACTTTGGGAAGCCAAGGTGAGAGGACTGCTACCTGGACAACACAGCAAGACCTCATCTCTAGAAAATTTTAAAAATTGGTTGGGTGTGGTATTATGCACCTACAGCTACCTGGGAGGTTGAGGTGGGAGGATCACCTGAGCCCAGAAGTTTGAGGCTGCAGTGAGCTATGAATGTACTACTGCACTCCAGCTTTGGTAACAGAGTGAGATCCTGTCTCTACAAATGAAAAAAAAAAAAAAGGCTGGCTAGACACAGTGGCTCATGCCTATAATCCCATCACTTTGGAGGCTGAGGCAGGCAGATCACTTGAAGTCAAGAGTTCAAGACCAGCCTGGCCAACATGGTGAAACCCCAACTCCACTAAAAATACAAAACAATTTGGGTGTGATGGTGAGCGCCTGTAATCCCAGTCATTGAAGAGACTGAGGCAGAAGAATTGCTTGAACTCGGGAGGCGGAGGCTGCAGTGAGCCAAGATCGCATCACTGCAGTCCAGCTTGGGTGACAGAGCAAGACTGTCACAAAAAAAAAAAAAAAAATTAAGTTAAATTAAATTAAAAAGGCAGCCTGGGCCAGGTGCAATGGCTTACACCTGTAATCCCAGTACTTTGGGAGGCCGAGATGGGTGGACCACTTGAGGTCAGGCATCCAAGACCAGCCTGGCCAACGTGAGGAAACCTTGTCTCTCCTAAAAATACAAAAATTAGCCAGTCATGGGAGCATGAGGCTATAGTCTCAGCTACTCTGGAGGCCGAGAGGCACAAGAATTGCTTGAACCCAGGAAGGTTCAGTGGAGGCTGCAGTGAACCAAGACTGCACCACTGCACTTCAGCCTGAGCAACAGAGTGAGACTCTGCCTCACACACACACAAAAAGGCAGCCTGTGTAAAACTGAACTCTAATTAAATGTCATCCTCTATCCTGAAGTTTGTTCTTCCAGGAATCCTCATCAAGGAGAACAGGGCACCAGGGCACCACTGTCTACCCATCCACAGCCCCTGGGGCACCATTTGGGTCTTCCCCCAACCCACTGCTCCCCCTCCCTACTGCCCATTTCTGGTTCTTCAGCAAGTCCAGCCTGTCCTGCCTTGCTAATTCATCCCAAATAAACTTTCTTTCCATCCCCACAGTTGTTCCCCAGCCCTGTTCTCTGCTGTACAACCTTGGCAGCCTCCACCCCAACCCCCAACTGCCTCTCTGGCCCCCTCCAGTCTGTCCCAGAGCAGCCAGGGTGAACTCTATAAAACATACATCACATTGTGCTGCTCCCCTGCTGAACACCTTCTCTTAGCTCCACACCACACTGATCCCAAGATAAAGCTCAGCTCCTCCATCAAACCCCATCTCTAGCAGCTCACCCACACCGATCTTCTGTGAATCCTAGGAGACCTCTCTCCCCAGGGCTTTGAAAATGCAGTTCCCACTGCCTGGGCTATTCTCATGCCCCCCTAGATCTCCACAGTCCTGCTGTGACCCCCCCCTTTTTTTTTTTTTCAGATGAAGTCTCCCTCTGTTGCCTGGCTGGAGCAGAGTGGCACAATCTTGGCCCACTGCAACCTCCATCTTCCGGGTTCAAGTGATTCTCCTGCCTCAGCCTCCCAAGCAGCTGAGACCCACCTAATTTTTGTAGTTTTACTAGAGATGGGTTTCACCTTGTGTCCACCCACCTCAGCCTCCCAAAGTGCTGGGATTACAGGCGGGAGCCACTGCGCCCAGCCCCTGCTGCCCGTCTTCACCCAACAGGCATCCCACTGTCCTAGGAACTGATTTCTCTTTAACTGTCTTCATTACTCAATACACAAACACATTCTGGCAGTAAAAATTCAAACGATGAGGACGTCCAAACAGCCTAAAGAGAAAGTAAGCCTCACCCCATTCTACTGGCCTCTGGGAGGGAATCACCACTGACCCTGGCCTTCCAGATCCACCACCCTCTGCTTATATTACTCACAGTAGGAAAGTCAGCTGAGGTCATCTTCTTCTATATGGCTTTTTCCCTAATTCGATAATTTCTGTAATTGCTTGTTCTATAATTTCTCTCCTCCACCAGACTGAAGGGCAGACTATGCAGAGTGTCAGCGAGTATTCTGAATCCGAACACCTCTAGATGGAGGTAAGCCTACCCGCCCCCCTCCCATTTCCTAGTGCGCACTGTGATCCTTCAAGAAGTGAAGGGAGTCCGGGAACAGTGGCTCACGGCTGTAATCCCGGCACTTTGGGAGGCTGAGACAGGCAGATCACTTGAGGTCAGGAGGAGTTCGAGACCAATCTGGCCAACATGGTAAAACCCTATCTCTACTAAAAATACAAAAAAATTAGTTGGGCGTGGTTGTCCACGCCTGTAGTCCCAGCTGCTTGGGAGGCTGAGGCACGAGAATCGCTCAAACCCGGGAGGTGGAGGGTGCAGTGAGCCGAGATCGAGACATTGCACTCCAGCCTGGACAACAGAGTGAGACTCCGTCTCAAAAACTAAAAATGTGCAAGAGTGGTTGAGTTCTCCTAGGAAGCTGCAGGACTCAAAGCTTCAGCTTCATCCCGCCAGTCTAGCACTTCGGGTTTGTACCCTATCTGTATACCCATCTCATCCCACTCCTCCGAGAGTCTGTATTTCCCAGTGTCTATTCTGCGCCATGGCCCTGAGTCGCCAAGGCTGCTCTTCCTCCCCGACGCCCAGCAGGTGCTCACATGGAGGCGCTCAGTGTTTGCAGTCTGCAAAGCCCACAGTTCCGAGCCTGAGCACCACCCCATCCCAGGTTCTTGCAGAGCACGGGACAGTCCATGGGCACCCAGCGTTCGCTGGCTTGGGTCGGGTGAATTTGTAAAACTGCACCGGCTACGGTGCACACTGCAGGCGCTGGGTGTTTGCTGGCTTGGGTCCCTAGCTCTGAGACCAGGCTGTGCACACGAGTGGCGCCCCTGCTGCTGTGGTCTGATTTTGAGACCACGTCCCAGCAAGAGGCATACAGTCCGATCCACAGAAGTTCTTCGTGGTCAGGCCGCCGAGGCACCTCCGTCCCGGACCCCGCGCGCCGCCGAACAACTTCCCGGGCCGCAGCTGCTCAAGCCCGCCCCGCCGCCGCCTTCCGCGCGATTCCCTAGAGGGAGCCCCTCCCACGCCCGCCGTAGGCCGCCCAGGCTGGCGCTGTTCCGGGCTCGAGCCCCCTCCCCGCCGGCCCGGCTCTCCCCGGCTGTTCCGGCCCCGGAGCCCCCCCGCCGGGCCTCGGCTCCCACGCTGTTCCCGCCCACGCCCCTCCCGCGGCTGTTCCGGCCCCGGCGCCCTCCGCCCCGCGGCAGCCGCGCGCCCAGGGCCGGGTGCGGCGGGAGGGGGCCCAACGCGGAACAGCCGCCTCCCCCGGCTCCGCCGTCGCTCACCCTCCAGGGCCTCAAAGATCGCCTGCGCCATCTTGGAGCCGCCGCCGTCGCCGCCGCGGGAGCCGAAACCCGGCTACGCGAGCATTGTGGGAGCCGTGGTGGCGGAGTCGGGGCCGCCAGGGGGCGCCCAGGAGCCGCCGCTGAGCCCCCAGCCCTGGAAACCCAGCCTCGGCTCGCGGGACCCCCGCATCCCTGGGCTGCCCCGGCTCCACTCGATAACCCAGTTACCCAACCATCGCGTGTGGCCCCCGCCCCACTTAAACGTCCGAGTCTACACCGACCTTATATCCGCCGCACGCGCGAAATTTCCCGTCCCTATTATCTGAACCCATATCCCCATCTCACTGGAGCAGACCCTCCAACTCTGACACAGAACCCCCCATTCCCACTGCACGTGAGTCCCCCAGGTCTGCAAAACGGACCCCATCTCCACTGAGCACAGTACGCTCCGACTCTGCAACAAACCATGAACCCCATCCCATCTCACCCAGACCACCCAGCTGTCACAGGGATCCCCCAGCTGTGCAACACAGATTCCCATCCCCCACCGCCTGTTAGCGATTTCTCGCCCTTGACACCCCCGTCAACTCTGCCTGTCTCTCCTCGCCTGACTCCTAGGCCGGAGTCCAGCGGGCGATCATAACCATGATCTCCTGGGCTCAAGCCATCCTCCCGTCTCAGCCTCCAGAGTAGCAGGGACTACAGGCATACACTGCCATCTCCTGCTAATTTTTAAATTTTTTTGTAGAGATCAGGATCTCATTATGTTGCCCAGGCTGGTGTAGAGCTTCTGGCCTCCAGCGATCCTCACATCTCAGCCTCCCAAAGCACTGGGATTATAGGCGTGAGTCTCCATGCTGGGGCTCCCATTATCCCTTAAGTAACTCTATCTCTTCACCCTCCATCCCTGCTTGTCGGGACCCCATTTCTGTCATATAAAGCCCCAACACGCACCTCAGCCACTCTTAGGCCAGCCTCTGAAGGACCCTGTCCAGGTGGCACAGAATGAGAGGTGCTCCTCACTGGGACTCCTCCCACACACAGACCCCTGTCATCTTCATTCATGCTCCATCACCTGCTTATTGAAGGTCTGCTATGCACGGAGTCCTGTGATAGCTCTAGAGACACGGTGGTCCTTTCCCACTGAGTTAGAGGTGGGAAAAAAGACAGACATTAAATCTTAAAGGTTATTTAATTAATTACAATGTGTATGCTGGGCACGGTGGTGGTTCGCACCTGTAACCCCAGCACTTTGGGAGGCTGAGGCTGGAGGATTGTTTGAGCCTGGAAAGCGGAGGCTGCAGTGGGCTATGATCTCACCACTGCACCCAAGCCTAGGCAACAGAGTTAGACCTTTTCTCAATAATCATAATCATAATGTGTGATAGTGGTTTCAAAGGATCCTTGGGTAACAAGCAAGAGTTTAGGGAGTGCATAGAGGGGAGGGAAAAACTGAGGAAGGGACCATTGTTAAAGAAAAAATTGCCGGGTGCGGTGGCTCACACCTGTAATCCCAGCACTTTGGGAGGCTGAGGCGGGCGGATCACCTGAGGTTGGGAGTTTGAGACCAGCCTGACCAACATGAAGAAACCCCCTCTCTACTAAAAATACAAAATTAGCCTGGTGTGGTGGAACATGCCTGTCATTTCAGCTACTTGGGAGGCTGAGGCGGGAGAATCACTTGAACCTGGGAGGTGGAGATTGCGGTGAGCCAAGATGGTGCCACTGCACTCCAGCCTGGGCAACAGGAGCTAAACTCTATCTCAAAAAAAAAAAAGAAAAGAAAAAATTAACTGGTCGTGGTGGCTCCTCTATAATCCCAGCACTTTGGGAGGCTGAGATGGCAGGAGGATCATTTGAGCCCAGAAGTTGGAGACCAGTCCAGGTAACATAGTGAGACCCACATCTCTACAAATGATTTTTGAAAATATTAGCCTGTAGGCCGGGTGCGGTGGCTCACGCCTGTAATCCCAGCACTTTGGGAGGCTGAGGCGGGCGGATCACTAGGTCAAGAGATTGAGACCATCCTGGCCAACATGGTGAAACCCCGTCTCTAAAAAAAAAAATAAAACAAAATAAGAAAAAAGAAAATATTAGCCTGTAGTCCTAGCTACTAGGGACGCTGAGGTGAGAGGATTTCCTGAGCCTGGGAGGTCAAAGCTGTAGTGAGCCGTGATCATGTCACTACATCATGCCAGCCTGGGTGACAGAATGAGACCCTGTCTCAAAAAAATAAATAAATAAAAGGTAAAAGAAAAAATTGTTCAATGATCCTTGCTAAAACACAAACACAGTAAGGAAGGCTTTATTCAGGACTATTGTGAGAGGTTCTGGTGACCACTACAAAGGGGTCTTGCAGCGGGGGAGAGAGACTGGGCTCAACTCCGAATACAGCGTAGGCAAGCGGAAATGTAAAGCCGGGAAACATCATAGGAGGCTGTGGGCGGGGGCGGGGGGTGGGGTGGGGGGGTTGGCGGATAGAAAATTACCAAGAGGAAAAGTCAGAGGTAAGGGAATTCTGGCTAAACCGACCTAACAGGATTCTTGCTGAAGACAGGCCAGGGTAATCAACATCACCTGGGAGATGGTGACAGATGCGGAACCTGGTCAGGCATCTAGGATGATTAGATATCAAGGATGGGGGTTTTTGCTAAACCGACTTAAAGCATTCTTTCCAGAAACTAGATTTTGCAAGGAAGTACACAGGTGGGCCTATCAGAAGACTCCAAAGTCTGACTAAGCAGTTAGACCAAGCAAAGAATCTTCGTCACCATCAATCATGGATCTCTCCCATGATCATGGAAATATCCTCAGACAACGGGACCACCATAGATTAGACTCTAAATTCGTTCACTAGCGTTATAGCTCCTTTAGAATTTGTCTAGCAGGGTTTCTGGTTTTTGCTGGAAAGCCCCCAGAAAAAAAAATGTTTAAATTTTTTTTAAAAATGTGTGCATTGATTTTACCTATTTTAACCTCAGCTAAATAAATTTTTAAAATCACAATTTTAATTTTCTTGTATTCACAATATAACTCCTATAATTAAAAATTATTTGTTTGGCTGGGCACGGTGGCTCACGTCTATAATCCCAGCACTTTGGTAGGCCGACAGATCACGAGGTCAGGAGATCAAGACTGTCCTGGCTAACATGGTAAAAACCCTGTCTCTACTAAAAATATAAAAATTAACTGGGCATGGTGGCGTGTGCCTGAAATCCCAGCTACTCCAAGATCTCATCATTGCACTCCAGCCTAGCAACAGAATGAGACTCCGTGTCAAAAAAAAAATTATTTGTTCACAGCTGGGCATGCTGGCTCATGGCCCTAATCCTAGCACTCTGGGAGGCCAAGGCAGGAGGACTGCATGAGCCCAGGAGCTTGAGACCTCTAAACTACAATTTTTTTTTTTTTTTTTTTTTTGAGACAGAGTCTTACTCTTGTCTCTCAAGCTGGAATGCAACGATGAGATCTTGGCTCACTGCAACCTCCACCTCCCGAGTTCAAGTGATTCTCCTGCTTCAGCCTCCTGAGTAGCTGGGACTACAGATATGCACCACCATGCCTGGCTAATTTTTGTATTTTTAGTAGAGACGGGGTTTCACCATGTTGGCCAGGCTGGTCTTGAACTCCTGATCTCAGGTGATCCATCCACCTTGGCCTCCCAAAGTGCTGGGATTATAGGCATGAGCCACTATGCCTGGCCAATTTTTTTTGAAACTGTTTTTTCAAAGTTTCTCTCTTCTCGGGGAACCTTGCCAGCCACAGGCTGTTTCTGTGGAGACAGAAGTGACTCCATCTTGGATGCTAATCCCCCATGTTGACTTCTGATTAGCCCCAGTCCTATGAATGGCTCCTGATTCCTGCTTTATTTACTGTACTGACTAGGGAGTCAACCTGATGCTATTGCACAAATTATAGGCTATGACATATACAGCATTCTTGCCTGCTCTGAAAGTTTCCTTTAATTGTCTTGCACAGAGCACTTAAAATTCTTTTCCTGTGGAATATGAGCCCTGAGTCTGGGAGTGACAGATGCAGGGATCTCCATGTCTTGCTGCCGCCCAAGCCCATGCCTCTGTCTGTAAGGTCCCTCACTGAAACACCCTTCACTGACAAACTGAGTTTGTCTGCCTCATTCCTTGGCTTTTTGGCTCCCTTGGCATTTGGGGGCCACTTTGTATATATGGCCCTTTCACAGAACAGCCTCACAGACTCTCTGCCTATTCACGCCCTCAAGGCCCATTTCTACCAGGGAACTGCCTGCACTTCCCTGAACACCACTCCTGTGCCTA